AAATGGAACCCCCCCCCCCCCCCATATATAAATTTTATAGACTACGAAAAGGCCTTTGATAGCCTGGACCAACAAACTTTGTGGAAACTTATTCGGCACTATGGAGTACCTGGGAAACTAGTCAGGATCATCCAGATCTCTTATGAAGAAATGACATGCAGGGTGATCCACGAAGGTAGACTCGTCCAACCAAGAGCATATTTGTCTGGCAGGAAAGGCACTGGAAGAAGTGGAGTCCTTCAATGACTTAGGCAGCACCATAGACACAAATGGCGGATCCGATGCGGACGTAACGACCAGAATTGGAAAAGCTAGATCAGCATTTGTGCTGTTAAACAAAATATGGGAATCGAAGGAGCTGAAGCTGCACACCGAAATCAGAATCTTTAATACAAATGTCAAAACAGTCCTACACTATGGTGCAGAAACTTGGAAAACAACAGTGAGCCTTATGCGGGGGCCTTTGTGGTATTTCTTCATTTCCTTAGTTTCCGAAATGTATTTAATTATTATTATTATTATTTTTATTTTGTTTGCTGTAACAATGGAATTTCCTTGAGCCAAAATACTCACCGCGGCTCGGTTGTTGCTAATTTCATGGTTTTCACAGATTCCGAAAAACACAAGGCTAAATGAGCTTTGTGCTCTTAAAATTAAAGATTGGGAATATTAACCAAGGACCACCTGGTTGGTTAGTAGTGCTGTTCTCGCAACACCAGCAATCTAACTTTCTTGAACTGATACTAACGTCCTAAAATACACCCTTTCCCATCCTGGGTTGGCGTCAGACGCCCTCTAACATGGTTTCTACAAATGTTTTTTTACCTCGTGAATAAGTCACTAAACGGTTGTCTAGAAACAGTCCACTCAAAGGCTGAATAATAGAGTTATCGGCAAAATCTTCCACAATCCATCCATGCCTCATATCTATTAGCGGCGACTAGTAATCAGGATCCCGACCTGTTTTTGACGTTAATCTCAACTGTAATTGGGTAGGCATCTTGCAGATTTGTTCTTTCTAACGCGGATACCATGCAAGACCGACATAGTGGTGCTGTAGCCTGGGTAACCCCAGATACGTTGACAAAAGCCCCGGGGTGGAACCAGTAGGCTACTATTACTAACGACTTCTAGACTAGCGGTACTACTACTAAATGAAATCAAACATAAAAACATAATTATCTTTAAGGTTTTTTTTTTTTATTTTTGGCTACTTGTCGGACAATTAATTAATGTTAAAAAATATTTTAAGCTACTGCAAGTTATATTTAAACTAGCAATAAATATGTTTTGATGTTTATAAAAAAAAAAATTCTAGCAGAGAAATGAAAATATTTTATTTTTCATTACTTTTACAATTTATATATCGCATTGTCTTTTGTTGTTTTTTTTTTAAAAACCGGACTCGACATTTTTTCCCCCTCAGTATCGCGCATGCGTAAACACTTTACTTCGCCATTTTGTTTACAACGACTTCGAGGTTTGTGACTCGTTTTCAATTTTCAAGTCTCATTGTGACCCTCATTTCTGTTTTGTTCCACTACCCTACTTTCGCTTTCATTTACTACATTACACGAATGATTATACCTACAAAAAAATTATGCAAACTCTAAAAATTCAAGCAATAGATTTGCCACTGTATTCTTTTATTGTTTCGCGAACATCACCCCGCTATGTAATTACAGCGATAACATGAATCACTAAACAGCTCAAAGTTTGAGTACTGCTAACTTAGCTAACAAGTTCAAAATTCACAAATAATAAATACTAGACCTGGCCTCACACTGACCTAGTGCCTGGTGCAGACCAGTACTAGTACAGTGCTCTCACTAAGCTGAGTTACTTTGGATCCAGTAAATGAGGTTCAGTTAATTTACGACAATAAAATTCATTTTAAAAAAATAAATGAATAATACTTTTACAGGGGTCTCAAATTGTCAAGGCCAAGGGGCTGCAGGCGGTAGTCTGAGTGAGACCGGGCCGCATCAAGTATTAAACTAAAAAGCGATTACAAATCCAATAAGTACAACTGTTACATTCTGCTCAATCTCTATTGATATCAAATAAAAACATTAAGGGTTCTCAAGAACTAGGCTTCACTTACTTCCTCCTTACTTGTTGCCAGAGACCTGGCAGTACTTCTTACTCAGCGATGCAACATTTGTCTTGTGTGAGGAAGCAACTGAAACCCTCAGTATAACTCGAAGATGCCCATCCGTAAATTGGCCCTAGTTCATAGTGGAAAAGAGCTTTTCACAATTGATCCACTTGAACAACCAGGAAACCCGGGGAAGGTGGAGGGCAATTCTCTCATAACCTGTCCATGATTGTCTGTTTTTCCATTCACCCCTCCAAACTTAGCCTTAAGTAAGCTCAGAATTGCACTGAAGATCAATCAGCTTCATTTGCAGCGCAAAAGGGCGGTATCTTCCACATTGAATGAGAAAGGGTCAGCGAAAATTTGCTCTGTGTATTTTGAAGTCCGCAAGCCTGTGATCAAATTCTTCCTGTAGCTTTGCAATGGCATCAGTATACTTAAGATATGACAATGGGGATAAAGCGGGGGTCGCATTAACGCTAAACTTTGCTATCGGGCAGCAAAATATCGTCTAGCGGTCCGCGAGTTTGAGACGCTGTAAAAATATAATACCCAACGCATTAAGCGGCTTAGGCCTACATATGATTACCATTTTAGGCTAAACAAAATATGACCACACCACTGAATAATACTGGCCATTAAAGTCTTTAGACTTAATTGCAAATTTTAGGCTTCAAGGCATGCTGTCATACTTTTAATTTTAAACTAAGCTCCTATGTCTACTAAGTGCCCTGAGCCTAAGAGATTTCTGAGCCTAATTTTCCTTTGGAAAGGCTTAAGCCTAAAGTTTACTAAAGTAGGCTTGCGTTAAAGATATTGAACCTGAAATGGAAAACCAAGGCCATATTGGGCAAATAAAATTGGTTTAAAATAAATTAAAACATTGTAACAAAGTAAGACTTCTAACTTTTCTGGTACCGGGTATAGTAGGCCTGAATATAATCGAGAAATAGACTTTACATGTTGACCTGACATTCAATTTCTAGCAACTAATTATTCAAAGCTTTAACTATAATTATGACAAATTAGATTTTGTGCTAGCTTTATGTATATCTTTAATTTACCCAAACGTTACTTGCCATTGTTCCCAAAGCTTTGATACTCAGCCTAGGTTGTAATGCACATCAATTTTATCTCTATCAGAAGCTTTCAGTGTTAGGAGATAGGGATCCCTAGTTTAGAGAGCTAAAGATTTTCCCTGTATGTGAGAACATAAATATATAGGCCAACTAATTGATGAAAGTATAATTATGTTAAAGATGAGATCTTTTACAAAGACTTTTTCTTTTTGAATAAATGTGTGTCTTTTATATTTTGTGCGATCTTTAGAAAATGCAACAAATAAAATAGTGTTTACTGAGTCAATTTTATATAAAACCTTTGTTTAGGAATTGTTAACAATGTTTTTTTTTTTTAAAGCGAACAAATTATTAACATGAAATATTTTTTTGTACAGCCTTACTATTTTGCTCATGATAACAATGACAAAAGTTGGAGAACTTGGACATGAAGATTCTCACTTAGCATCATCATCCGATGGAACAGTTTTGTTGTCTCTTCCCCTTATCTCATCACTTGATGGTGGAGACCTAGGAATGAAGTCACTGGACGATGAAGACATGGATGACATGGATAAGGGTGATGAAGAGGATGATGTTGATGTTAACCAAATGCTTTCAGTAGTAAATTCAGGCGGGAGTAAGTTTTTGCTTTGTATCTGGTTAAAAGAGTACTTTTCGAAATTACATTAATAACATTTTTAACTTAAAAATGACTTGTAAAATTTTATATTTTACAGTGGGCCCCTTTATGATGAAAGGATAACTGCAGATTTATCAGGGAAATTTAAATAATTTATATGTATGAATGACTTATGATGTAAAATTTGTAGGAGTTTATTATTAAATCATCTAATTAAAACTTAGACATTCATGTATCTAATAATTTTTTCTTTCAAAACAGATTTGATTAGAGCAAACCATACAACACTTCAGTCTCTGCTCTCCCAACCCATCTCAACTGCCCAGATGTTCACCCAGCAAGATGGTATTCAGGTCATCACCATTCCAGCCACATCAGACTTTTTAAACATGAGCTTAACAGGTGACATAGCAGACAGATTTGTTCATATGGTCCCTACAAGTGCTGACATCAATAATCTTGGCACAAAATATATAGGACTTATAGCTATCACAAATCCCAATATGCTGCCCAATGGAAAAGAAATGGGTATGTCTTTTTGATTAATTTGTTACTTTGTGGGATGAACCTATTAAATGATTATATATGACACAAAAATTGTGTGAATTGCTTGTTTTAAGATATTATGGAGAGAGTTTATGAGTACCTGGATTAGAAGAACAAGCGAAAAATTGATAGCAAGGAAATGCAAGCTTGTTGTAAAGTAGTTCTCAGTACTGTCTGCTTATATATTTTACAAAATTTGAAAATTCCATTTTCTTGATATGCAGGCAGTTTTAAAAAAAATTGTGTATTAAAGATTAGTCGTATTGCGGGACTGTCAAAATACGTCTGCAGATTAAAATTTGATCAAAACCTGGGTTTTGAGAAAAACTGTTGTAGGGAAAATGCAAATATTTGCAAGGGTTCTCAATGAATAACTATAGCTAACATTTTGTGTTAGCTATTCTATAATTTCCTTCTTCTAACTTTGCTTTTATTTTTTATTTTGTCAGGCTCTACTTAACTTCTCTAAAAATAACTTTTAATAAAAATCTTTGAATGTCCACTGCCATCAAAAAAAGTTAAAACTTTGAAACCTAAAAGCTTGAACTGATATAATGACTATAACAATGATCAAGGAACACCAGGAGAACAAATATTTATCAGTGCTTGTAATATCTTCATTGCTTGGATAATAACTTTACATTATTGAATGCTGCAAGGAAACTTTTATTTGTATAATCTAGCAGCTAAAATTACTGTTGCTAATTATCTCTTACTATCTTCAACTAATAGGTTTTTCTGGATATGAAATGATTCAAGCAGCTGAGGCAGCAGAATTAAGTGCTGCTGCAGCAGAAAACATGGCTGCTATTCTAATGCCACCACCTCAAGCACCACAAGATGTTAATTGTCCCAGTTGGGCAATGAGGCTGAAAAAATGTGAAGTAAGCACTTGACTAAGGAATCACCGAGTAGTATATCCATTTTAAAAAAAAATTTCAAATTCTTTTAGTGTCTGATTCTGCTGAATTCATTGATGAAGAGTAAAACTGTAACGTTATAGTGATTTTTGTAGTTGTACTCTCTAAGTAACACGTTGCCATTACTTTTTTTTTTTTCCTCCAAAGAAAATTGGTGATTCTTATAGAGGGTATGTGGAGAATGAAACCGACCTTGACCTGATACTGACTCTTCACAAACAGCAAACCAACAGCTTCTGGGGCACTCGCCAGTCACCAAGCCCTGCTAAAGCTTCTACTCGATTGATGTGGAAGTCTCAATATGTCCCGTTTGATGGAATCCCTTTCGTTAATGCAGGTAACAAATTAATATATTCCTTGATTATTTTCATCTTGTTATACTTTATAACATCTGCGTATTCTAACAGTGGTATTCCATGGCAGAGGGAGTTTCCCACTGGTTTATAAAACCAGACTTGCAATGGAAATGACCATTTTGCACCTGTCAATGTTACAGACACAATTTTAGTTGCAAGAAGGTGTGATTTTTATCTTCTTTTTTTTTTCTTTTTATGAACTCATAGTTTGCCACTATAACTGAACAGGCATCTTTAGCATATTTGGAGAGAAAACATGTTTGTTTTTTTCTCCAGGGAGTCGAGCTGTAGTAATGGAGTGTCAGTATGGTCCAAGGAGAAAAGGAACCCTGGGCAAGAGGGCAACTATCACAAATTTATCCAATGAATTCAAACAAACTTGTCCTGCCAGGTGACTTATTTATCCCCTAGTTTATTACAAAGTCCCTGTGATCAATTTTAAAGCATGTAAAATTTTGCATCGTAAAACAGAATATTCAGCTTGACTCAAATATTAAAGGCAAAATCTTAAAATTCATGTGTATCATTATGTCTTACAGATATTTACATTCCCATAATTAACACAGGAAAGGGAATAACGTTTTTGGAAATTTATCTAGACATATTAAAGTATAATAAGGTTTTTTATCATACATTTTTTATTTTATTTGCAGGATATACATTAAAAAGGTCCGCAAGTTTCCATCACATGCTGTCAATCTGAGCCTTGACAAAAAAAGTATCAGACTTGCCATGGATAAGGCATTTCATGAGCTGAGAGAACAAGGCCTTGACAGCTGGGGGGAAGAAAGGTATGTTGAAACTTCATTGAAGTTATATAGTTCAACCGTCAACTTTCCCTGATATTGATCCTATATCTATACATAAGTTGTTTTGGATACTAAAATAATGCAGGCTTGTGAAATTTTTATTAATGCTATATAAACCATCTATTTCATCTTCATTTGCTGATTGTTTTTGCCCCAGATATTATGTACAGCTGCCTACTGAAAAAGCCCACGATTACCATGAAGAAGGGAGCTCATCAAAAAATGACACCATAACAGTTGTGTCCCTTGAAGAAGCTGTAAATGATGACCAGCAGCATTTGCACCAAGAGAGAGTCAGTGAAGCCAGAATACATCCAGCCGTATTGGAGAAAATCAGACAGATGGTATCTGGAGGGGAGACAAGGCTCTACACAATACGCAAGCAGCTCAGGTAGGCTGAACAAGCTTTTTAACCATTGTGCAAAATTTAATAAGCTTTGTTGCAGATTTGAACATGTGTTCCAGTTGTCAAATGTGCTTGGAGCTCTCATACGCTTGTTTTTACTGCATAACATTCATCTTATTTTAAAAATTGCTCATACTTTTAAAAAATTATCATTAAACATGTTAACGCATTGTTCTTATATAATAAACTTTCATTATTTTGTCATAATTGTTTCTAACCAGTCTGTGTTATCAGTATGTGCAACCATTTTGATAATATCTTCTCATAAATAAGCCACTTAAAATAAGGGTGTGTATTTAAAGTTAGTGATTTGTTTAAAAATTGACAGGAAATTTGTTGTGAGAGAACTGTTTCAAGGCTCAGGGCTTGTGCCAGAGCGCCACGACTTAACAATGTTTCCCACTGTAAATGATTTAAAAAACCATATCCATCAAGCTTTGAAAGATATTGAAGCTGGAATTCTGCCCTTGTCAGCACCGGTTGGTTTGTTTTTAAATAATTTAATTTGCACTTTAAAGTGTTTTTTTTTCCTTTTCTCTGTGGCTTTACAATAAATTGAAATTATTAATAATTAGAGCTATTTTTTTTTTATTGTCATGGCAACCTAGTTAATTCTTTCCAAGTAATATAGCTTAATGTATTGTTTTTTAATCTTTTAATGCAAATTTATGTCAGCTAATAAATTGTACTTAACACCTAACTCATTTAAATTTTGCAATGCAGGTACATCTTGAAGGGATGCCTGGGTCTGATTGTAATTCAGAAGAACAAGATTCATCCAGTGAAATAAAATCTGAGCTGTGCTCAATGTGGTCTGGGGCTGACCTGTCAGCCAGTGGACCAATGCCTGAGACAGTCACAGTAACCCTGACACAGAATCCAGATGAGGGTAGGACAAACTGGCGCTATTCATTTTAAGATGAATCAGTTCACACAATGAATAATGTTTCAATTTTTTGCTTAGCACACATAAATGCTTTATGAATGACTGATTTCTCATTTTTTATTAATTTACCTTTTAAAACAGTTCGCATAAAGATCAGGGTTGCATTGATCAATAGAAAATGCAGAATAATTAAACAAAAATGATGTTCCAAAATGAAAGTGTATTGATCGGTTAGCACCTTTCATAATAAGAAGGACTGCATTCAAGGCATCTACCTGAAATGCCCCTTTGATTGTCCTGTCTTTTCAAGTGTAAACATAACTTGTTTCACTATTTCCTAAGCTTCTTTAGAAGCTTAGTAAACTTTTCTCTTTTCATGTGGCCATTCAAGAGCCCCCATTCTTGGGATAATTTTTGGGATTAAAATATAAATTTTGATATTTATGTGGCATTCAAATAGGTTTAGGTCTTTAAAAAATAATTTGAGGCCAAAAAAATATTTGCAGCAGTAGCACATCCTTAATGATATAAATTAATGAATATCACAGGTCAAATGTCCAGTTTTGACCGTTAAGACTCATTGATCAATGAGCAAAATAATCCAGCGAATTCTGAAAAGAGATGTTTATGAAGATTTAAAAAATTCTTTATTTCATCAATTTATGTGACACTTCTCTCTCTCGAAGATGGCCATCATATTATCTCTCGCATCGAGACCCACTTGAGTGATGGAACCACTCAAGTCAGTACAACACTAACGCCAGAAACTGCCCAGCTCCTATCACGTTTACATCCAGGACTTTTCCCAACTGGAGGCCTTTTGAGGGTCAGTCTGATTTGCTACTTAATTGAATAGATTTGATAAAGTTTTTACATTTTTTAAATAGTAAAATAGTACAGTCACTAAATGTTGTGCATATGTACTTTTCAAAATTTCCCCCAAAATTAAATTTAGATTTTTGCAGTTGATTCTTTGTTTTTGCTAATTTCTACCCTAAATATAAGATGTAGCTGACTAGCCTACAATTTTTTTCTTATTTATGCATGTATTGACCCTTTGTTATGAATAAACTTCCTTCTATAATATATGCACACATATATTGACTTCACTGCATTAATGTTGTCCTCTATAACTTTTTTTCAGCTTGATACCAGTCAGGGTCATTCGATAAAGAGCGAAAGTCTCTCTAGTCCCAATGAAGACGGGGCACACGAAAACCCAGTCACAGGACTTGATGCTTCCATGGTGGGTGGTGTCCATGTCATGGGTGGTATAGACACATCACATCTGTCTGGCATGGTCGACATGGACGGCGCACATAACATTTCTGACATGATGGACTCTGACCCCTCTATTCACTTGGGGCCAGGTTCAAATCAGAACATTTCTGGATTAATAGACTCTGACTCTGCTAACTTGGCCAGCATTGTGAGTGCTGACTCCCACCACCACCACCACCACCACCTTACAAACTTGTCCATCTCAGGCTCTCAGCTGTCAGTCTTGAGTGCGGTCGACTCAGCCACTATATCAGAGATGGTGTCTTCCGGTGCTGCCCACCTGAGCATAGTTCCAGGACTCCCCAACACCCTTGCCCTAGTCACACACAAATCAAACACTGGCATGGGGTTGGACTCCTCAGACAGTGAGAGCAACCATATGACTTTAGTAGAAGAAGATGGTTGTGAACAAGACGAAAAGCTTTCGGATAAGATTACACTCCACATAACTTCTGGTGAGTGCTCACATTTTTGTTTAGCCATTTAGTCACGCTATTTCTTTTTTACATAATCTTAATTTTTTTAGGTGAAAACATTTTCCATTTTGAAGTAATTGTCTTACTATTTGGATACAGTTATGTTTTGTTAATGAAATGCTTGAAAGTTTATTAAGTTTATAAAATGTGTTAATTAATGATCTTCTTTTCAGATCAAGAAATGGGAATGGCACGACTGGAGAACAGAGTTTCAGATTTGTAAAATAAATTCATTTTTTCTCTCACTTCCTGGAATTGCAGCGGATTGAGTACAATTTCATATGTAAAAATTTATATTTTATGGAATTTTGTTGTTTTTTGTAATTTTATAAATGAATTTGATAGACAGGTGAAGTAGCAAATATTCTTTGATCAAGGACATTAGTTTTAGAGTAAGGAATGAAAGTTCATATCTGTTGAGCAAACTGTTATAAAACAATTTAATAATTTATCAATATTCAATGGCTTATGAGGAAAAATAGCTTTTTTTTTTTTTTTTTTTTTTTTTTGTTGCTAATCCAACAATAAGAAAGATTTTTTTGGAAAAATGTTATTTTTCTAATTAGCAACAATGTGTTATAATTTAAAATAAGATATGTATTTCTGTCTAATCAAAAGCAGCAATGTGATATTATCTTTGCTAGCAAGCAAATACAGTTGTGATAATCCCATAAGTAAATAAGGACATGTACATTTTAGAGGATTTCTATAAAAGGGTAACTTCTTAGTAAAGTATACCTGCCATAATTAAAGAGTTATACAAATTTAAACTTTGCTTTAAATCAAAGAGCTGAAATCAGTGTTTCACTTGTGAGAGGGAGTGTTGTAGAAATACTTAGCTGCAGCCCATTTTGCTTGCGGCAAGGTGACTCGCAAACCAAATGCAGTAAAACAATTAATTTAGTCAAAGAAAACACAGAGAAAACAGGTGCAGGATTATGAAATTATTCAAACTTTATTTAGCAACTGATTAAAAAATTTCTTTAAATCATGTTTTTTTTTTTTTGGTTACTGTTTTAGCTGCGACCCCCCAAAGAAAGCCCTCCTTGATCCCCTTTTTGGGATATGACCCATTGTTTGGAAACTAGAGAATTTCAAGTTGTTATCTTTTTATCTATATTTTACATGAAAACACGCATTTAAAAAAAAATCATTTTTACTTTAAAAAGCTTCTTAAAATATTTAAGAAAATAAACTCTTTATTTTAAGCTGGACTCTTTGTCCTACTTATAAACTTATTAATAGTAACATGTTCTCTCAAATCATCAGGCAAACATTATTAACCTAAAAATTAAGTAACTTTTAACAAGTTAAATGAATTAATTTTTGTTATAGAGTTCATAATTTTCAGGATAATAAGTCTGAGGATATTTAATATATTATTTATTGCTTTGCTAGTGAGCACCAGAAAAATATTTCATTGAAGGTGTGTAAATGAATTGTTTTTCTCTGAGAGCTAAGATGTGTCTAATAATACTAATATTATGCTTGTATTATTCCATGAATTTTTTTTTCCCTTTTATTTGTTTTACAGTCATTTTGTTTAGTTTATGTAATCGGTGTGACCTGGACCACAGAATTTCCTAGGATTTAGTCTTGATAAACTGCTAGTGACAAGTATTATTTGAATCTCACTGCCATGTTCTAGCTGCTATTGAATATTTAATGTCATTAATTAAATTCATGTAAAAAGTTTTGTGTTTTTTATTCATGCTTAAGCTCTTGTACTTAATTAAACATTGGTTTAACAAACTTTCTATTTATTTTTTTATATTTCAAAACACTTGTTTTTTTTCTCACATACTGGTATGTGCTATGCTCAGCTCTTTTTAAAGATCTACATCCCTCCAATTTCAAAAATATCATATGGCAAGGATAACTTGATGTTGTGACCTAATCTGCCTTGATTCTTTTTAAAATCACTGCCCCATTAGTTTTTTTTGAATATTGCAGTTAGTGAATTTACTTTTAAATAGGTTGTCAGTTTAAGTGTACATTATATTTTTTTTATTAGCCATAAGTTCTTGAGGAGCAGTATCTGTATATTTAAATATTACAAGAAATCATTTAAACTCATTCCTTAAATATGATAATTACATTATAGAAGCTCTTCAAGTTGAACAATTTTGTTTTGATGACTGCAGACTAAATACAACTAGACATATTGTTTGTGTCAAAGAACTTATCAGTAGGGCATCTTAGTCCCAAATTCTGCCACCAGGTATATTTCAGAGGTCCATCCATTGAACTCTTCACATAAGATCAGGCATTAACTATAAACAGCGTGGGGAAAGTGAATATACCAGATTACCTGAGCTGTACAAATTTTGTTATGTTAAAGCAATGAAAATTATTTCTATTGGTAGAATATTGCACAAACTTGATTATTAGGCATGTGAATAGCCAGAGGTTCTCCAGTGGTTGCTAGCAAATTAATAAACAGTTTTTTAATGTTTCAAATGTTAGTAAATATAGGGGAATGTTACAAATAGAACGTTTGTGTTGTGCACAGATGCTCTTTGGTTTCATTATTTCTACACAAAATTCAATTACCTCCTCCTGTCTATACACATTTAATTGTGGTGATGTTATCTGTGAAGGTAGTTATAATAATTATTTTCAAATTATTAAAAATTATTCAATTTATTATCCTGAGCTCTGAACCCCTAAAAAAAGTATAATGGGGCCTCCTCAAAATAATTAGTTTCCATGCAAGGCTCTGCCACACAAAAAAAAAAAAAAAAAAATTTTCAAATTATTAAAAATTATTCAATTTATTATCCTGAGCTCTGAACCCCTAAAAAAAGTATAATGGGGCCTCCTCAAAATAATTAGTTTCCATGCAAGGCCCTGCCACACAAAAAAAAAAAAAAAAAACAAGGTTGCCCACCACTGGTCTATAAGATAAGATGTGAATTACAAATTTAATGGGTTTGTAATTTAAAAAGTTGGAGGTCATACTTGTCTGTGTCTGCAATCAGTCAACTGTAATATTCTGGTAGTCAAATCTCAGTAGCTCAGTAGAGGTTATATGAGAAGTAACTAATGGTTGAACATGTAAATATGGTTTTAATCTTCACAACACCACCAACATTTTTTTAAGCCGCAAACAAACAAAAATAACGGCAAGCAAACAAAAATAACGACCCACATTTGAATAAATAAAACTTCATTTATTTCATTTAATATATTTCAATAACCTGATAAAATTTCACAGTATTCAAAATTATTTACATAATTTCTAGTCATTATGACTGCAAGACCGCCGGCATGAGAAAGCAGATTAAAATCATTTTAATGTTCGGCTGTCTCAGAAATGGTAGAGTCCTCATGTTTTTATTTATTTTTTTTCTACATTGAACAAAACAAATATCACAAACTACAGCCAACGGACACAAAAGTATCACAACCAATTTTTAGACTTGATGAAATCAGAAGACAAAAAGGGTGAAGCAAACTCATAAGTTACAATGGAATGTGAACATATAAGGAAATGTTGAGGGACTCTGCCACTTTTCACCACATTTCTAGAAATCTCTGTAGAGATTTAACTCTTTACCTAATAAATAAAGGAATGTAAAACCAGCTTCACAGTTATGATGTATACTTATGACATGATTTATACGAGCTGGAAATTATTTAACGAAAAAAAAATTAGATGAGGTTAGAAGTTAAATATTAAATATGAATAATTATAATAAGTAAACAAAAGAGAGCAACTGATCAGACATGTATGCATTTCAAATAACAAATGAAATGCCATACTTGTATAAGTTAATGAATGAACTAACAAACATAAAAGAAAGAAATAGTACTTTACCACTACCACACGGAAATCACAACAAAGAGGAAGCAAATATGCCCATGAGCAAGAAAGACGAGAAGCCATAGACACAACAAAGTACCTTCGCAATATATCCGGATAAATGTATAACACTGGCAATGATACTTCTGTACATAAGTTATTACATAAGTTTCAATCTAAGTAATATTTTGCAAACATCAATTTAAAGTTAGTAAAATATTGGTCATTACTTATCAAACATGAACAAAACAGAGAAACCCCTTTTTTGTTGCTGGAATTAAATTAATTCCATTTCAAATTGTTATTTTCACAAAGATGCATTCATCAAAAGTAACATTGCAGAATATCTGCCTTTTATAACAAGAATAAAACTGACAATTATTACCACAAGTTACCATATTTATAAATTTATCACCCAGCTATAATCTACACAAAGTGAACAAAGCACCAATTTCACCCCAACAGTATTGATATAAGAAGTAGTATTAATATAACCTACTCTGACAAGATATAGTGTACCTTTGACTTGTATGCAAAGTGGAGCTGTTGATATGAATTTACTGGATGCAAAATATTCACCACAACGTATTGGTACAAGTGTGTCAGTGATGGAAACAACTTTATGTACATTTATTTTACATATTGCAAACTCAACTTCACAAAAGTTATTGAAACTTAAATAAGGTGCACTTTTGAGAAAGTTATAAAGAAAAATGTAAGACTACCAGATGTAAACAAGCAAATATTATTAAATAAAATGAAATAAGCAGGTAAAAAAACCTGTACTATAATTACAACATTGGCATCATGACATTTTTTAAAAAAAACTTTGGCAGTAAAAGAATGTATGTACATCAAAGAAGTTTTAAAGTTTCTTAAGTCTTATAATATAACCGGAGGACATTCGTTCCTTGTAACATCACTCACTTGTACATTCATTCATCTCACCAAAAGTAATACAATTTAAATATCCTTTTTGTCAACACATGTACGAAATATTTTCTAAAAATGCAAATTTGTATTAATAAATTAGCTAGATATGCATCCGTCCATCCTTGTTTTCATCCACCAATTCAACACATCCATCCAACCTTGTTTCAATCCACCACATCAATCCAACCTTGTTTGATCCACCATGATGAACTATCTCAAGAATCCACCAAAGCAAGCTATCAAAAGGATGTGGATGAAGGCAAAGTAGATCCAGATAATAGTGCGTAGTCCTGGACGAAGCCTCATAACACGGCCCAGCTGTCGACTGGAAAAGGAGAAGTAGGCCCTGTCAGGGAGATATATTTAATGTACACCATGCACCCCTTACAAAAATAAAAAAAGCTCATTGTAATTTGAAAATTGACCATGCACTATTAGGAAAGATTAGTTTAAAAGAAGCAAAAGATTTTTAAAACATAATTATTTTGGCAGAGATTCAAAATGTTTCTCCAATTATTTAAAAATTCATGTCATCTGGTCTATTAGGCTGATTTACTTTGGATTCTAATGTAACAAGTGTATGTATTAGTCTATCTTGATAAGACTATTGGCTCCTGCAGAATGCTGAAAATATATGATGCTACTTTATTGTTATTTTGAAAAGTACTTATTAATCATGCAGTGTTCAAGGCCTTACTCCATTTATTTAGAAAGCACTTTTCTCTCTACCCTGCCCCAACCATGATAATAAACAGACAGCGCCAGCTACTTCAATCATGGTTCTAAAGCATGCCGGCAAAATGCTTGAAGTACTAATGCATAGTTATAGATTTCATCAAAGTAATGAAATAGAAAATCTACAAAATTAAACCGATCCACAAAATGTGCCTGTTAGTGTTTGAAAAAACATGGGCAAGAGCCTTTAAGAAGAATTATTGGCTGCCTCCTGCTATATACTTATTTCAAGTCAAATTTAGGCTAAACCTCTCTTAAATTAGTTAACCTAACTAAACTAAAATATTTATTAAGTTGCTTATGTTCATAAAACTTTTTAAAAACCTTACATTTATTTTTTTAAACAGTTCTCCAGCCCACCCAGCCCTCAAAATACAGCCACTATCCCCATTGCCACTCTCTGATGTGATCAGTTCATTGAGTACAAGCAATATTCATCCGATATCCTAAACATGTTTTTCACTAAAAGTATAGTTGCTAAGTTTGAAAAGAAAGATAAATTTAAATGCTACTATTGATTCTAGGTATATAATAGAGCATTGACAGATTTTCAAATACTACTTAAAACTTTCTGTATAATCATACATTCTTCTAAACATTTCATCCATAAACATGATTTCTAATTTTCCCATTATAATTATTATTCCTTCAAGCATTTTATTTGTAAAAGGAGGGGGGAAAATAAGTGTTTCTGGCAACTACCAATTCAAATTTGTTTATTAGGTAAAATTAAAAAGCAAAATTTACCCATCACTCCTATCAGATAGCAAAAAGATATAAAATAAAATATATTAAAAGTGGAAAATATTAGTAGTTTTTAAAAAAGGGTGACCGGAATAAGTGTATTTAAAAAATATAATTTAGTGACTTCAGCTATATGATTTCAGTTGGTTAATAACTGAGTAATGAGAAGCATTCAATCAAATTTTGACCAAATGCTAAATAGTGCCTTAACCCAATTTATAGCCACAACAAAAAACTTGACAAATGTAACAGAAAAATTGATATTTTTACAATGTTGACAACATTGTTAGCAGGCCGGAAAAATTGTGAAACTCACTTTTTAACTCTCAACCAGCTGTGAATTCTGCTGCAATAGCCAAAACCATGACGTGCTGAAATACAGAAAAATACAAAAAATGTCATTTTAAATAGTGCAAATTTATTAAAAGAGCCCTGACATGAGCAATGAAAAGAGAATTAAAAAAATTTTTTGGCTGCATCACTAAAGATATTTATTTTAAAAATAAAGATTGTCTGATGACTGTCCCCGATTAAAACACATATAGCTTTAAAGCAAAATCAGCAAAAACATTATCAGGATTATCTTTGGTATTTAATGATCTTAAGGACCTTATCACTTAAAAATTTTTTTTTTTAAATTTAGGCTAACAAAATCCATAAATAATTTGTTAATGTGTACATTGAATATTGTACATTTAATAATATTTTGCCTGATTTTTTTTCTTCTGATGATTGAATACCAAAAAGTTCACCAAAGAAGGAAAATAGGAAACAAAAACTTACTTAGCATGGTTGAAGTTTCTCGAATTCGAGAGTCATTGTCCTCCTCCATTTGTAGGTATATCTAAGCAAAAGAGGTCAAATAAAATTTTTTGTTATTCAACTGGGTTTATTTAAAATCATTGAGTGCATTCTTATGCATGCACACTTCACTTATGATGTAACTGATTATTGAAACCAAATCAAAAGTAAGTTGTGGATGAAAATGCATGGCTTACATAGTTCATCAATAGTTTTAAAAGATTTACAACATATACCGATGGAATATGAAGAACTGCTATAACAGTGATGGTAGATAACATGTCAAATTTTCTTTCCAACATTTTAAAAATACAATTAAATATCACAATGAAGGAGGAAATAGTTTATTTAAATATGAAATAATTTTCCCTCAGAAATTAAAATGTCCATTATCAAAAACTCAGAGGGCTGCATGAAATCTTCAATGTCAATAGCAGAAATTGTTGTGATTTGGCCCAAAGGATAAGCTGCACACACAATCCCTCATTGGATTTAAAACACTGGCAATACCTCTCGACTGGCACAAGCGGCCAATAGCTTTATTTGTTCCTGAGCCTCGCCAAGCTCCCTCTCAAGTTGCTCTCTCAGAGTTCTCTCCCTGGTTAATGTTGTATTTAAGGCTGTGTAAGTATCTTGCAGATTTTGGTACAGAGATTGCAGCTCTACTAGCCTGATAGTGAAAGGAGAAAAGGATTTAACCATTAACACTTAAAAGAAATGCAGGAAACAAATTAATGTCACCTAAAATTCATTGAAAGTATCCTGCTCTCCAGTTCTTTTGAGATATAAAAAAAAAACTGATGCTGTCTCTGGCTTCTTAATTGGAACAAAAATGGTGTTATATAATTAATTTAAAATTATGTCATTGTCTGAAAACGATGCATACAAATAAATTATTATGTGATGTTTTTACCTATTCAATTCCTGGTCATTCTGACTCCTGACCTGGTCTGCCTCTGCAGCAGTCTCTTCTTCATCCAACTCCTTCTGGACACTGTCAAGTGCTATTCGTCGCTCCAACTCTGCAGTCTGCACAATTAGTTTTAAAATATTTTTTCTAATTTTATGGCGTGCAGTATACTATTAAGTAAGTTATAAGTAAGTACATTTCAACTGTAAAACATTTGCTTAAGCTTGATAAAAATCTATTACAAAAACTCTTTGAAGTAAAAAAAACAACAAAAACAACACAAAAAAACCCATAAAATTCCAAACCTTGGATTGAGAAGCAATATAAGCCTGATAGAGGTCCCCATATTGTTGCCTTATAGCTATCCACTCTTGTTCCTTTTCTCTCAAAGATTTGGACAAGTTGGCCAGTTGTGTGTTCAGATAACCTCTGTCTTCAGCAAGTTGGCTCACCTTAAATAAACAGTTATCCATTTAACATTTGAGATATTTGGTCTGGCTATTACACATTAAAATAAAGTTAACTGTAACCTCCAATACAAGGTGATAAATGTTAAAATTATTTCAATGTTTCAGTTCAAACATGTTTTAGAAGTATAAAAAAAGGAAATAAAAAAAGACACCTTTTTTTGGTAGAAAGCTCATCTATGACATGATCACAGGAGCAAAAAAGGGATAAATAAAAAAAAAAGAGCAAAAAAGGGATAAATAAAAAAAAAAGATTGAAAAATTAATAGGAATTTGAAATAGAAAGAATCTATTAGACACTTCCTGTTACAATTTTTTTTTTAATTCAGGGAGGTAACTTAAAGGATCTGTTAATTTAGTCCAAAAGAATTAATGAAATAATTTTGAGTTTCTGCTAAAAATGTCAAATTCCTCAAAATTATTATAATATTTAAAATTAAATATGGTCATATGCCAATATCCTTTCATAGAGCCACAACTGACATCACTTGTGATATGCACAGATTTGATGCACACTCAAACACCCAATGTGAGTAGGCTTGGTAGATTTGAGCATCTTTTATCAGTAATGAAAAATTTCTTGCACACTCGGTAATGTGAACCCTTAGTTTGAAGTAGCATTTTTAACCTGAATTTCTCACATTATAAGCAGTAATATACAGCAATAATTCTAGTTATATCTGTTGTGATATTGTTGACTTATTTTTACTTCTGCCCATAGTTTATGAAATTTGAACATTAAAAAGATCATTGAGGATTTTTTTCCTAACAGGTAGGAAAAATTTACCTGAAGATCTAACACTATGAGATTCATTTCAGAATTTGTACACTCTCAATATGATGAATGATAAATATATTGATGAATTTGGAGGTTTGACAGGGGACTTTTTAATAAGGTGCAAAGATAAATATCTTACCATCACCCCATTTAAAGAGAATATTATCTTTTTTTTTTTTTGGACAGTGAAGTTAGACGTAAAAGTTGAAGGATAAATCAACAGAAATGAGTTGAACCAGTGTTTTCCATGGCCTGTACTGACCTGCAGAGCTAACTGCTGACATCTTGCTTCTCTCTGTTTCAGTGTGTGGAGAGCTTCATTCAGCTGAGTTACAACAGCATTCTTCTGTTCCATGACATCCGAGAACTGGGCTTGTAGCCTCATGTACTCTTCTTGTGACCCCGAACTGCCACCCGTCATGTACAACTGAAGCTGGGAGGTCAAGGATTCTTTGTCAAACTCTGCTTGCTGGAGAACTGCCACGATCTTTTGAAATAAAAAAAAATAACTGTGATTTTTCCTAGCCTACAATAAAGTAAGAACAGTTAATTATAAAAAAGTTATCGTTTAATTTTAACAATGTATCCAAATAAATGTTGTGAAAGAAGCTCTATTTAAAATTTATTTAATGTGTTGCAGTTTTATTAAAATTAGCAAACTAAAATACCAACAATGATTTGGATTCTTAGTGCTATCAAGGACATGTAATGAAATTATCTTAATGTTTACTGACATGGAAAAGAATTTCAAATAGATCAGAAGAAGACATATTTACCTTGTCCAGTTCCTGTTTTAGCCGTGCATTTTCCTCCATGGAATTCCCTTCTGTCCCTTCCAGCTCTGCAACACGTCTCTGGAGTGTCTCCTTCTCCCTCAACACATGCTGCTGCTGCTCCACACTGAAAGTGACTTCATGTTGATGAGACACAAGGTCCCTGATCCTCACATGAAGGTCTTCTATCTGTCTGGCCATATCTCTCTTCTCTTCCAACACGTTGTTGAAATCTGCATTCAAGGAGTCGAAATCAGCCTCTAACGATTTCACTGTGTCTATTTTAACATTGAAATTCTCCAGCCTCTTTATCAGCACTTTGTTCTCAGACTGGGAATTTTCCAGCTCTTCTGTCACCAAAGAGATCCTTTGCTCAAGATCTTTCATGTTTTCTAATGCTCTCTCTGCCTGATTCAAGTCTTCCTCAAGAGCTGAAATGTGCTTCTCATGTTCAATTATGATTGCATCTTTGCTGTCAATTTCTGTCAAGCATGAAATCACTTCTTTGGTCTTATCATCTAATATTCTCTGAATTTCACTGATCTCAGAGTCCTTAGTTGCCAGGACTTGCAACACCTCCTCACTAGTAGATCTCTGGACCCTGGCAGGCTTGCCATCCCCAGAGCCTTTACCCAGGTAGATTTGACCTTCCAACAGTTCACTAAGTCTTTCAACCTCTTTCATCAGCAGGTGCTTGTCTGTCTGCAGGGCTGACATTTCCCCTCTGACCTCCTCTAGGTCATGGAAAAGTATTTTTTTCTCCATGGTGGAAGATGAGAGCTCGGCCTGAAGGTCCTCAACATCCTGCTCCAAATTGGATGCCTCTTCTAATTTCCAATTGAGTCCACTAACTTCAATCTTTAGATCTTTGTTTACATCAAGAGCAGTGGCCAGTTCCTCTCTCAATTCTGTTAGCTCTTCCTCCAGACTGGCAATTTCTTCAGCCCTTGATGCAGCTTTGTCTTTACCAAGTGGCACCACACGTTCCACTTTCACAGACTCACCCTGAGATATTTTACTTTCTGAGCTCTTTGCCGATTCGAGGCCAGATATTTTTTCCTTCAGCTGCTGTACCGTTGTACTGAGCTCAACAACCTGCTGAGACAGGGACATTTTATCCCGCCTTAAAACAATGAGTTCTTCCCTAACACCTTCAAACTCCTCACGCAGCTCGTCTCTCTCCTGCTCTGCCTCACCGAGCAGCTGCGTCAGCTCACTCAAGTCTTGTCCAGCGCCCTCACCAGAAGATTTGGTGCTGGTCTCACCAGTTTTCTTCAACTTGAACTTGAGCTCTTCAACCTCTCTCTTCAGTGTGGTACTGTTCGCAGTCAATGTGGTGGCCAGAGATTGATAATCGGCATTGTCACTAGACAGGGAGTCATACTGAGACTGGAGTGTCTGTAACTGCACAGTGAGTGATGTGATCTTGCTTTCTTGTAAGGCTGTTTGTTCTCTGTGTGAAACGTCCCACTCTGCCTTCTCTTCAGACAGCCGGCTCTTCATCTCAGTCACCTCTTTTTGTGCCAGGCTTGACTTAGTTCGCTCACTGTCCAACTCCTCATTCAACCTGGAAATTTCACCCTTAAGTTCACTTAGCTCTGCCCTCAGGGTGTCAATGTTTCTTGCTAGAGCTTCTTTGTCTCTTGTGAGGAACACAGACTGCAATGATTTGATATCAGTTTCTTCTTGTTGGCGTTGAAGGTCCAGTTTCATCTTCTTTCTGCGTTTGGCCAACTTTTCTGCCTCCTGCAAGCTCTTCTCCAACTCTTTCTCTAGTCTAGTTACCTCCTGTGCAAGAGCTCCTTTAGCTTGAATCTCTTCCCCTAGTTTTTGTTCCAGCTCATCAACTTGCTTACATTTCTCAGTGAGCATCAGCTGCAGACTGTTCTCAGAGCTAAGCTCATCAGATTCTGTCTGTGATTTATGTACTAACTCAAGCTTCAGGCTCTGGTTTTCTTCAGTTCTTATTATAACTTCTGCTTTAAGGTCTTCAACTGTTTTCTGCAGCACCTGCTGCTGAGCTCTGCTTTGATCAAGCTCAACAACTTTACCTTCCAACTGAGCCTGAACCTCAGACAATCTTAAAGCCATCTTTTTGCCACCAGACTGAGCTCCAATTTCTTTCAGTTGATCCTTCAATGAACTGTTCTCATAGATGAGTTGACCATTGTAGGTTTCCGTCTGTCTGAGTTTGTTGCCCAAAGAAATGACTTGTTCTTCCAGTCTGCGACGCTCCTCCCTCAGATTGCTGTCTCTCTGAGGTGAGTCGCCTTGAAGTCCTAACTTTTGTTGCAACTCATCAACCTGCAAATACCATCTCTAAATAAATATGTAAAGCATTTTCTGATGCATCATATTCTATTTTTATATTTACTGAATTAATGAACAATTACATCTTTATTTCTAAGTACCGTGTTAAAAAATGCAAGTTTCTTTAGTAAAAGGAATCTTTATTTTAACTTGATGTTTACAAATGAGAAAAGTCCACATTAAAATAACCATCCAAAAGAATGAATATCAGATATATTGCATACAAGTTACAAATATGTCTCTGTCAAAAGAAACAGTTGCATTTTTTAAAATAAAAAAAACTCTGGGCTGTTACAGTTCTATGTACCGGTACGTGAAAGACATGGGCTATTTTCTAGTTAAACAACACCAAGCACCACTCACCTGAATCTGTAGTTTATCATTCTTATCCTTAAAAGCCTTGAGTTTAACAAGCATCTTCTCACACTTGACCTCTGTAACCTGAAGTCGACTTTTTGTTTTTTCATACTGCACTTGGAGCTGTTGCAAACTAGCCTCTGTTTGCTTCAACTTCTGTTCTGTGGGCTGCTCTTTGCTCGGGGATCCATCAGCTGATTTCTGGAGACTTTCTGAAACAGTTTCAGCCTTGCCTACAGCAACGGACCGACTCCATTGTTTCTGTTCCTCTGCCAGGGATGTATTGAATGACATATCAGAGAACGATGTATTAGTTTCCTGCCAGTGTTCCAACTTCTGCCTCAAGTTTTCTGATTCCTTCTTCAAATTTTCTACTTCAACAATCAGCTGGTCCCTCTCAGCTTGTACTTTATTCAGATCTGATTTAGCAGCAGCCTCTGCAAACTGGTTTTCAGCTATCACTTGCTCTAATCCCTCAATCTCCCCCCTTAAGGTATCTATGACTGTTAGATGTTGTTCCTTTTCTGAGGACAAAGCTTCCATATGAGACTGAAGTTTCTCATATGCTGCTTGTAAGTTTTGCACTTGGCCTAGCTTGTCAGTTACCACATCTTGCATTCTTTTGGCAATATCCAACTGACCATCCAGGTCGAGCCTCAGCTGGTCTCTCTCCTCCTCCAAGGACGCTTTTTCCAGTGAAATACTTTCAAGTCTTCTTTTCAGATCCTCAAAGTCCACTTCTGAACATTCTTGCACAATGTTTTCTTTATCCTTTCTCAATGACAGAATCTCTTGATTCAGCTCCTCGACTATTTGTTGATAACTTTCAAGTTTCACGCTAAGGTCCACAGCGGGTTCACTGGGGACCATCAGTGCATCTGTGGTTACTGCCTGGTCATCCACAAGTTCCTGTCCTATTTTCTGCTCCATTTGGCTAATGATGAGTCTCTGATCTTCAACCTGTTGCTGGAACCCAGCAAGAGCAGACTGAAGTGATTTTAGCTCATCATCACTTGAGGTTTGTTGTAACCCATGGGATTCTTCAACCTGCAGTCTGAGTGAGTCAACCATGCTGTTGAGCTCAGCTATTTGGACACCCTGCTCTCTCATTTGCTGCCTAAGACTTTCAGCATGAGCCCACATCTCTTCCTTGGTCCTCTGGGCCTCATCAAGATGATCTGTCATCTCCACAAACTGGTTTTTGTGTTCCTCTATCTGACGATCAAGCCCTGTGATTTGAGACAGAAGGCTTTGCTCCCTCAGCTCAAAATCTGCTTTCTGCTTCAAGAGGCACTCCCGCAGCTCTTTTATTTCAGAATCTTTCTCATCAATGAAGCCTTGTAAATGAGACAATGACTGCAATGACTGGGACACTGGGGTTCTTTCCTGTTCATCTCTGTATGTATTCTGGTTTGCAATTGTCTCTTCAGCTGCCTTCAAAACCTGCCCTAGTTCTTCTGTATTCTGAGACTCTCTGGTTAATGTCTCCTGCAAATGTTCTATCTTTGCCATCATCTCCATTATATTCTCTTCCTTTTCTTCCAAAGCCATCTTCAACTGTGTGGTTTCTTTGTGATCAGAGTGTAATGTGTGGAGTTCCTCATTCATCTGTTGTATCCTGTGGTCTTTTGCAGTCATCTCTTGCTGCAGGTTCTCAACAAAAGACTTCCACTGCTGCGCCTGCTCTTCTAAAATGACACACTTCTTTTCCATGGCTTCTTTAGAAGTAAGGAAATCCTCCTGAGCTGCTTCCATCTCCTGCTGGAGTTTCTCATACGCAGACTCAACCTCGATCACAGTTAACTTCAGGCCTTCTTTAACCCCTTCAAGTTGATCAATCTCATTCTGTTTCTTCTTAAGCTTCGATTCATTATCAAAGGCAGCCTCTGTCAATGTTTGAACCTGCTCCTGAAGCTGGTTGCAGCATTCTTTGTATGTAGCAATTTGCAACTGAAGGCTCTGCAACTCCAGTGAAACCTTTCCTTCAGTTGATTCAGAGGTTAAGTTCAAGGATGTATCCCCAGAAATACCAGTACTAATTTCAGTACTTTCAACCAAAGTTACGTCAAGCACAGACTGGGATTGATCTGAAATTATCCCTGATGTATCAGCTGAATGTGAGGACAGCTGGGTCTCCAGGGTTAATTTTTCTGAGTTCAACTTGGTGATTTCAACTTTGGCTTCCTCAAGGCTACTGTTGGCCTGTGTCAGCTGGAACTTGAGCTTTTTGGCAGTGGCAAGAGCTTTCTTGGCCATGAGTTCTTTATCAGCGTAAGCCTTCTCCTTCTCGGCAAGAGCTGTTTTTAAAGTCTCCAAGTCACCCTGGCCCTGCAATATCTGCTGCTGCTTTTCTGTCTCAGACTGACTGGCCTGTTGCTCTTCTAGCTGCACCAAACGCGCTTCCATTTCTTGCATGTTTTCTAGGAGAGAATGGATTTTCTGGTCCTTTCCTGCAATTGATGCTGAGAAAGTCTGAATCTGGAAATAAATAAAATAATCATAAACAAAAATGTTCCATTTATGATTTTCTGGTTATGATAGGCTCAATAATGTATTTCCATAATTGACTACACCAGAACTCCATAATTGAGTATATTCCATAATTGACTGAACTACATAGCTGAATATATTCCAAAAGACTATATTCCATAATTGACCATATTCCTCAATTGACTGATCTCCACAATTGACTGATCTCCATAATTGGCTGATCTCCATAATTGACTATATTCAGTGGGACTTTATTAAGTTAATATTTGTTCATATTTTCCTTTGCAACAACTTATAAGAGAAGCTCCATCTTAAAAATAAGGAGGTAACAAAATTTTATTCAGCTCAAGCTACAAATAAATACATAAAAAAACATTTTCCAATATTTCGTAACATCAAGTTCATAATTGTGTCTTAACTCAGGGCTTTGCATTTAAATCAAAATGACAGAAAAGTCTGGAAATGTACTCTTTTTTTATGCTTCTGAAAAATGCAGAATTTATTAATATTTAAAAAATGCATGAGCAAATATTTTGTTGCATGATATTTTATTTACATTTATGCCAAGAAACTAGGCTACATAGTATTAATAATGCAATTATTTTAAACAGGTGACAAGAAAACTGAATCTAAGGAATAGGGTGAGTTTAGGCTACTGAGCTGCCAGGCTGCATCAAAATGATCCTGGAATATACTGGAGCCTCAAAAGTTTCTAATAAAAATGCATGTTTTTAAAATTAAATTATAAAAACACCCTGGGCAATCAAGGAATTCTTCATTAAGCTGTGAACTATTTAATTACAAAATTAATTAAACCTGCCCCATGTTAAAACAACCTTTCTTCATAAGATTTGATAATGAATTATCATGCATTTTGTATGAAGTCAACACCAATTTTTAACACCTACAAATTCAAATAAAAAAAAAAATAAACACTATGATTGATATAACTTTCATGTTTACTGGAAAATATTTTATACTACTATAAATAAAATAACTGTACTTACCTCTTCCAAAAGTTTGTCCCTAGTTGAGCCCAACGTTTCTAACTCTTTACATTTTTCTTGCAGAGCAGAATCTTTTTCCGCAAGCTGTGACTCCCTCTCAATTAAGGCACTCATAAAGTCTTGAGCTTCTGACAACTTGGACTGAATAGTGATTTCGTTGTCTGCAATTGCCCTCTTTAACTCAGTTGATTCATGGGCTATAGATGTACAGTTTTCAGAAACATTTTGTAGCTCCTTCAGGAGTCTATTGTTTTCTATTGAAAGTGTCTCACTTCTGGTAACAACCGCTTCATGTATTTCCTCCATTTCTTTTAACCTTGATGATAATGATAACTTCTCCTCCTCTAATTCCAAAAATCTGGACTGCAAAGCAGTGACATCATCATTGTTGTTATGCAAAAGCCCTGAAAGTCTTTCATTTTGGGACTGCAAGTTGGTCACTTGCTCTTCTAAAATTTGAAGTTTTGCAACATCTACTTGCAAACTTGAAATTTGCTGTTGGAGATTTGAAACTTCTTCAGACTGATCTTGCAGTTCTTTGGTTCTCTGGGCAAGAATTTCCTGTACAGCCGTAAATGACTCTGCTTCTTCTCTTAGCTGTTGGAGCTCAGAGATTTTGGAAGCAAGCTCAGCTTCGAGAGATTGTTTAGAGGATGTCAAAGTGTCCTGAAGGTTTCTGCTATTGTGTAATTCATCCTGAAGATGGCTAACATTCTGCTCTGCGCTGACAATTTTGGCTTTTAATTCATCTCTTTCAATAGATATTAGCTCCAGCTGCTGTTGAAGCTGGGTGACCTCTTCAGTCTTGGCCATCAGTTGTTGAATGGTTTCTTGTTCTTTATCGGAGGATGAACTTTGAAGCTTCTCTACAAGCATGCTGGACATTTCCGCCTGTGCTTTAACTCTCTCCACGTTGTGCTTTAGTTCCATTCTCTCAGAGTCAGCCAACGTTAGCTGCTCTTTGAGTGATGTGATCTGTGCTTCATAGTCTTCACTGAGCTCTGCCAATTTCTCTAAATTCTCCAAGTTGTTCATCTCTAGGTGGGTGACCTTGTGTTCTATGGACTTTTTGTGATCTTCACTCTCTGTCAGCAATTTCTCTAGTGTGATCTTTGATTCCTGTTCAGCCTCAAGCTGTGTTTGGATGGTGGCCAGCCTAATCTCCAAAGACTCTTTCAACTCCTTCTCCAGCTTGAACTGTGTTTGAAGCTTGTTGACTTGAATTTCAAGTTCTGAGTTTTCTTCTGCACCAAAATTGAGTGTACTTTCAAGCTGCCTCATTCCCGATTCAGAATCACTTAACGCTGTGATCAGTTGCAGGAATCTTGATTCTTTAACCTTCTTGTCTTCTTCCAAAGCCTGAAGTTTACCCTGAGCCTCCTCAGCAGCTGTAGCATAGCTTTGAGCCTGGTTGGAGATGTCCAGAATGTTTTGTTCTAATGTCGACACCTAAGAAAAACAGAAATGGATGAAAAAATCAGAATAGGCTTTCAGAATATTTACGAAAGATACTATAACTTTGGCACAAACTTTAGTTACTTTAAAACGCTGAGGTATTTTATTTTTCATATACTCTTAAGTGCTATTTTATTTTAGTGTTAACTGAATTATTAAGAGGCTTTGCCTTTCCAAAGAAATCAACTATAAAATAATATTGTTATTTGATAAAATTTCTACCATTGCAATTGTAAGCTAAGCTCAAAAGAAGATCATACATAGAAGCATAGATTCCTGTTCACCAATAAAATAAATGTTAATGTGGTGACCAAAAAGCTTATGGTGATAGTAAATATTAGACATATTGTAAAATAAAAACATGCAAGAACCAGTTAAAGAGTTGGAACTATATTAAAATATGTTGCTTAACAAACAACATAACAAACAAGAAACAAAAAAACATTGTCATCACGAAGTGCACTGTTAGCGTGCTTGAAAGACAAAATTTGACAGGCCCTATATATTGATAGAGCTAAGCGTAAAAAAAAATCTATAATATATTGGTAATTATAAGCAATTATAAAATCAATTTACTTTAAAAAAAATTAGTCTGTTATAGATTATATGGGTCAGAGAATTCAGTCTGTCTGTGATTGTAAATATCAGAGTAAGTTTAATGATATGTCACTTCTACTGAAAACAACCAGTGTTGCATAATAAAATAGGTTAGCTCTTTAAGCTTTACTATGAAATCAGTGATACCAAAAAGTATTAAGATTTTCTGAAATGAAGCATCTTTATGATCATTATCTTTTAATTGTAAAGATTTTAAATGGGAACACAACATTATGAGCAATCAAATTGTTAAATAAAATATCAACTCAAGAATTCCACAACAAGGCAAAAAGGAAAACAAAATTAAACAGGTTAAAACATGATTTTTTCCTTCCCTTTACTACATCTATGTAAGTAAAAAAAATATTTTTTTTTTTTAATATATAGGAAAAAATTGGATGGAGCTAATTTTTGGTAAAATAAAAATTGCATTTCTGCATTAGTTTAATGCACAGATTAATTACAGCTGAAATTAGAATATTATAATTTATAATAAAACAATTAATTTTTTTTAAACTTATAGTCATATACAATCCCAAACTGCACTATAATTGCAAGATTGAAACAACTAAATAACCAAACCAATTACAATTTCTTTTTAAAAAGGACATTTTTCAATGGATAAGCTAAGATCTATTTATGTTATATTTTCTGATTTCTGCAGGTGAAAAGCACACGAGAAATCAATGCCTTGAGTAGAAAATTATGTAATATGTAAATATTTTAAGATACCTAGTTCTCTTGTCAGAAAATTTCATTGAAACTACAACACAAATTTAAAGATTCACATTCTATCTTTACTCAAATACTCAGCGATTACATTACACACACAAAAACATGCAGTAAACTTCCAATGGCTGGCTGACATGCAGGCTTGTGAAAACAAGCGTAAACCTAGAGTGCAAACTTTTATCTAAACTATCCACATTGTTTAAAATTATAATACTGTTAGAGCTCTTCAGTCAGCTCTCCATAAGTTCACATTTTTGTTTGTTTTTAAAGAGCAAAGTTTATTTTAATCTTCAAATACTTTCAGCACTAGGTTGGGTTGTTTAATAGATAAGGAAAGACACACCCATTAACGACTACATAAGCAGTGGGGTGGGGGAACTCAAAAGGAATGCGGATCTGATTAATTTTATTCAAATTTATTGACCATGCCACGTTGATTCTAAGCAGTTTACAAGACGGTGCAACTTTATAGTATATAAAAAAATTAACTTTCTTTTTTAAAGTAAATTAGGTTTAATAAGGAAGTAAAAATTATAATTTTCCTATTTCATTATTTAATTTTGTTTAGAAATATTTTTCAAAAATTTTTATTTAACAAATAATTTGTATGCAATGATTAAATTCTATTAGAAAAAATAGATGTTTCTCTTCTGTTTGCAGAACAAGCTAAAACATTTTTTTTACTCAGGCTATAAATGAATGGTGCTTTCAAAACTATATGCTTTCCTTTCTGTAATTACTTTTTTTAGAACTGCTGATACAATAAAAATTGTTAATAAAAAGACAAAAAGCAAGATAAATCCTGTTAGTTAAGGCTTTTAAAGGCAAGGCTAATGATAAGCATATAATTTGTAAGTAATTATTGCTAGTAAACTAGCCAAAAAAGAAGCTGAAATTGTAGTAACATTAGTGCAGCAGTAAATAATAATTCCTAGTAAAATTTAAATCTAAAATGTGACTTTGGCTAGCCATTGATTGTAACTTTGTCATGCATTACATTAAAAAATATTTGCACTGTGTATGTGATTAAAGACATTAAAATTTAAATAAAAAATATTATGTTTTAGCTTGACTGTTTTACAACATTAGGTTCACAGCTAAACCAAAGTCACATTGAAGATATCAACAAAGGCAAAGGTATGGCTAACATGGATGTATTCAGTATAGTGTGACAATCACAACCATGTGGCAACCCACAAGTTAAAACCTGTATGGTTCTTACATGTAGGGAGCTGGCATTCCATTGCTCCTCCAGCATCTTATTTCTGCCCTCAAGTTCAGAAATTCTAGCCTCCATTTCTGACAAATAGGCACTGGATTCAGGCGAGGAATCATCTTGAATGATGATTTGGTGGGGAAGCTGCTGAATTGTATTTCTCAGTGTACTGATCTCTGCCTGAGCCTGCTGCAGGGAGTACTCTCCATTCTGAACCTGCTGCTGAAGGTACTCAACCCAGGCCTGGAGCCTGTATATTTCTGCTTCTAGAGCCGCTTGGTTGGTTACATTTGCGTCAGAGATGATCTCAGCTGGTGTTTCCACACTGGTAGCAGATGAGGACACAGATGCTTGCTCAGGTAACTGTGTATCTTGAGAAATGAAAGACTGTTGTGAAGTTGTAGACTCAGAGTTAGTTGTTCCATGATGCATGAAGGAATCGATCCCTAGACTTGCTGATGCCAGGTCTTGTGAACTTAAGCGTCTTACTTCAAGCTCTGCTTGATCCAGTTTTTTGGTCAGTGAGGCAATTTTAGCATCTTTTTTCTTTAACAATTTTTGCATTGATTTTGTTTTCTCTATGAGCTCGGATAACCTCTGATCCACTTTTGTGCCATCACCAGATTTCGAGACAATGGTCTCTTGGTGAAGAACAGGTTCACTGTTAAATAGTCCTTCCTCTGGTGGAGTTTTGGCAGTTTGAAACTGTAATATTTCATGTTTCATCTCAAAGTTCTGGTTTTCAAGACTGGAGATTTTTTCTTGAGACTCCTCAAATTGTTGTTTAAATGAGTCACGCTCATATGTCAGAGTTAAAACAGAATGTTCCGTTTTATGGAGGTGGTCAGCAAGGTCAGAGACCTGATCTTTGACACTCTGCATGGCATCGACTGATATAAGAGTTGGATCACCAGACCCACTCATCTCTAATTGATTTTGGTCCTTCGATTGCAGCTCTTCAATCTTTTTCTCAAGATCCATATCATGGTTTTCTAACCTATTTATTTTCTTTAGGGCTTCATCATAGTGTTTTTGCAATATGTTATGTTCATGAGTAAGAGTTAAGAGAGTATTTTCAGCTTGTCTTAGCTGATCTGCAAGTGATGATAATTCCATATTCCCATTTTCTAGCTCATTTGATAATCTTAAGATGTCTTCATCTTTATTAGTAGCATCAGCCTTCAGTGGCTCCATCTGCTGTTGTAATATGTACAGCTGACTTGTTAAATTAACAACACTATCTTCAGACTGCCTCAGTTGATCTGCCAAATTGGACATTTCATTCTTTGATGTTTCCATTTCATTTGTTAACCCATGAATGTATTCATCTTTTCCATGAAGATCAAGCTTCATCTGATCTAGTTGGGCAGAGAGTTCAAGGACCCTTCTTTGCTCTTCAGCAAGTGAGTAAGTTAATAAACCTGCTTGCTGAGCATTGGCATCACTTCCTTGAGAAATTTGATGACGGAGTTGTTCAATCTCAGATTCACTTGTCTTCAAGATGTTCTCATAATTCCGAATATCCTGCTCATATTTCTCAATTTTCACTCTACTCTCGTTAAGATTCTTCTCAAGATTTAGCACATTTTGTGATAGACTGTCCTTCTCTGACATTAATACATGTCTTTCATTTTGCAGCCGGCTGTTGTCTTCTGTTACCTTTTGCATCAGAAGTGAGTGACTCTGCTGGCTCGACACCAGATCTTGCTGTACATGACGGAGCTGCTCTTCAAGGTTGACTGCTGCAGCTGACTCACTTTCTTTTATTGAGAGTTCAAACTTCAATCCAGCGATTTCTTGCTCCAGCTTCTGAATTTGTTCTAAGGATGTTGTCTGTAGAGTAAAAAGTTGTTGCTCTAAGGACAACATAACTTGGGATTTGGCTGCAAGTTCATTCTGTAGAGACAGTGTATTTTCTTCAAGGTTTCCTACCACTGAGGCCTGTGCTGACAGATCCTCAAGTTTATGGAACAAGTCAGAGAATGAACAATCATTAATCTCAAATATTCTATAGAGAGATGTCACCTGCTCAGAGAAATTCTGCAGCTTTTCTGTATTTTCTGCCAACAACTGCTGAAAATTGAAATTCTGATCTGAAATAGTTTTTAAGGACTCCTTGGAAACCACAAGCTCCTCTTCTAGCCTGGTGATGGATTGTTTATGAATTTCTAATTGCTCATTGAGATAATGGTTTTCTTCACTTTTTTGTTGAACAACACTTTGTTGATATTCTAACTGCTCTTTGAGTGACTGATTTTGCTCTGTTCCTTGAGACCACAGTACTTGTGCCTGATCCCTCTGATCTCTGAGACTGGTATTTTCAATATTAAGTTCCAGATTAATATCCTGATAGTATTTGACTGAATCATTTAGAGTCTTTAAATCTAAAGCATACTGTTCTACCAGACCTTGCTGATGGCTCAGCTGCTCTTTCAAAGAGTGGTTCTCATGATCTGTCTTGAGGATCTGGTTCTGCACTTTCTCATACTGAATGGCCAGCTCATCATGCTGGGTGGACAGAGACAACAGTTTAGCCTCTTTATTTTTTAGCATTATTCTCAGATCACTAACCCTTGTTTCAGATTCTGCCAAATGGGAGGAGAGTGAAATAACCATTGATTCCTTTTCCTCCAATGAAGATGACATCATTCCCTCTAAAGATTCCAATTTGGATTGCAATATTTTATTCGAGTCTTGATTAGCCTGCACAATGTCCTGCTGCTCTTTCTTTCCTTGGAGTAAAGTGGCAATCGTTCCTTCAGCATCTTCCAGCTGTCTGGAAATTTCTTTGGTTTTGCTGTCATAAAACTCTTCTGCCTCCTTTATCTTGTTGTGCAGCTGAGTTACGTACTCTTCTGATGATTTCTGAGCACCTTGGTAGTTGATGACCTGATCATAATAAGCACCCAGCTGTGTGGCCAGTTCTTCTTTCTCCTCAAGGACGTGATGAAGTTGTTTAGATATGTTTTGTATTTGGTTTTCATGAGCCTGGTTTGATGCACTAAACTGCAGTGTGTACGACTCATTTGATGAATTTATTTCATGCTGTAAGACGTCTCTTTCATGTCTCAAAATGTCCATCTCTTGAGTTAATTTTTGTATGGTGGCCGTAGATTCCATAAGCAAGTTCTCTAGTTCTTCTTTCTCTCCAACAATTTTGGAGTTGTGATTTTTCAAAGACTCCAAGTCTTTTTCCATTTCGGTTTTAACTGCAAGAGTTTGTTCATAGAGACTCAAAGTTTGCCTGTTCCTTTGGTTAACCTGATCCAGCTCAGATTCCAGTCTTAAAATTGCTTCCCTGGATTCACTAAGCTGATTAGAGTTTTCATCTTTGTCTTTTTCTACTTTGCCAACCCAGCCTTCCAGCTCAGATAAATGTTTTTCTGCAGTGAATTTCTCTTCTACTAAAAGTCTGACAGACTCAGCTGTTGAGTACAGCAGGTCTTCACCAGCATACTGATCTATTGCATGTGAGTTGACCATGTCCCGAATATCAAAGATGCAGTTTTCAAGAGCTCGCTTGTCTCTCGTAACAAAATGGAGTTCCTCCTGAAGGTCCTCAAACTCATGACGCAAGTTTAGCATTTCCTCTTTGGAGTTATCAAGTTCAATTTCAAGTTCACGAATTTGAGCTTCTAAAGATTCCTTGTAGAGCTCTGTTTGCCTCAGTTTGTCATTCAGTTCAAGCACATCATCAGTGTACACAGTTGATCTACTGTCACCAAAAGATAAGACCGATAACCTTCCTGAGGTATCTGCTACTGACTCCACACTGGTGGCTGATGATAATTTCCCATGCTCTGCTTGGAGAGATTTCAACTTTTTATTTATAGACAGCAGCTGGGCATCTTTCTTTTTCAGGAGCTTCCTGAGGCCAGAGACTTCACTTTTATATGTCTCCACTTCCTGTTGATGTACTAGAGCAGAACTAAAAGGGGAGCCACTCTCACCAAAAGTAGGGCTTGGTACAGGAGTTTTTGGTTCAGCCTCTTCTTTTATCTCCTTGCTAACTGATGCATCTAGAGTGGGTGCATTTTTTTCTTTCTTTGGTGTGGAAGAATTGATTCTTTTGGTCAACGCCAAAATTTTAGCATCTTTCTTTTTTAGAGTTTTCAACAGCTCATCTTTTTGTGATTTATGATCATCAAGCTCAGACTTCAGGGCTGTGAGATCAGAGTTAAGCAGCCCGATTCTGGTACTCGTTTCATCCTGGGTGCCATACATTTCCTTCATGACACTTTCCATAACACTGATCTTGTTATCCCTCTCAATGATTTCTGTTTTCAGTTTTTCAGCTTGACTTCTTTCCTCCTGCAAAGATGACTCCAGTTCTTGACAACGTGCTGTGAAAATTTCAACATGGCTGCTTCTGCCTTGTCGCTCCATTTCAAAAACCCTGAGGTTTTCTTTGAGATTGTGTGTTTGCGACTCAAGATTTCTGACTTCAAACTGCAACCTGTCTATTTCAACACTGTTTGCTAATTTTAAGCTAGCCATTTCTTTCTGTTGGGACTGAATATCCCTGAGTGCTAAAGTGACATCATTTTGAAGCTTGCCCACCTCTGCAGCCTTCTCTTCAAGCATTTTTTCAAGATATGATATTGTTTCTTGATGCTGGCTGTTTAGAGACATGAATTCACTGAGCTTATCCTGTAAATGTGTAATGAGCTCTGTCTCAGTAAGGTTAGACTTCATTGTCTCTTTGAGCATCTGAGAAGTTGACATCAACTCAGTGGTGGTGACCTCTAGCTCTTTTTCCAAAACTTGTTCTTTCTCAAATAAAGCGGAGGAAATGGTCCCTTCCTTTTGTAGTTTCTCCAGCAGCTGAGATGTATCTTGTTGGTGGTGCTCTGCAACTTCCTTCCAATAAAGTTCTGCATCATAAAACCGAGTTTGCAGACGGACTATTTCAATATCTTTCTCACCAATCAGCTCCTTGAGTGCATCCCTCTCTATTGCTACTTTTTGATATTGTGCCAAAAGTTGCTTGAATTCTCTTTTTTCTTCTGTTAAATCAGAGAGTTCGTCTGAACCCTGAGACCAAGACATGGATAAAAACACATCTTCTTCTTGCTTATTTGCTAGTTGTTCTGTGACCTCCTCAGCACTGGCATCCATGTGTTGTTTTGCCAACTTACTAGCCTTTTTTGCCTTCAGGTGTAGGCCTTGAATGACCTTTTCCTTCTTCTTTAAACTTTTTTCTATCTCTAACCTGGCTTCCTTCTCATTCTGCATATCAATTTTCAGTTTAGAAATAGCAGACTCCAGGGACATTGACATGGCCTTCTCTTTTTCTAGCTCTACTGTCAAAACCTGGATCTCCGATTCTCTGTTAAAACTCCCACCAGATGTACCTTCTGCTGTCCTCAACTCTGTCTCTAGGTTCGGCATAAGGTGGAGAGCTGTTGAGTCTTTAACCTGGGGAAAGGAGTCCTGAAAATGTTGGACATCTCCAACTGTAAAGCCATTACCTGCACAAGAACTTATAGGGGAGGCATATAAAGATTCAGAAGATGAGGATGTGGAAATAAAATGGGAGGGGTGATAAGGTTGACCTGCTACTGAGAATGACTGCAATGAAGCTACCTGTGTTTTAAGATTTTCTAGTGAAGTCTCCTGATTAAATAGAGTCAGTTCTAGCCCCTGATTTTTACACAGAAGATCTTTAATCTCCTTCTCTTTTTCTAATAAACCTCCTTGTAAAATATCAAGGGTATCTTCTGTGTTTTTCAACCTTTCAAGACACAGTTTATTTTCTGCTAAAACCTTATCAAGTTCTTTCCTGGACTCTGAGCCCTCAGCTTCAGTTTTGCTCAATTCACTCTGAAGTGACACATTAGCATCTCTTGCCGCCATCAAATCCCTATTCAGTGCCGTGACCTGCATTTCTAGTTCTTCGCTTTTTCGAGTCAGTGCTTCCAGTTCAAGCTTATTATTTTCCACAGACATCTCCAACTGTTGACTGAGTTTAAGCCTCTCAGCATCAATCAAAGAGTTGGTTTGTTTCAGTTCAACTATTTCCTTCTCTAACAGCTGATTCTCTTTCTCCGACTGGGTCAGTAATTCCTGAAACTCTCTCTGATCCTTTTCCTTTTGTCTCTGCATGCATTCAAGTTCATTTTCCATGATTTTCAGCTCCTCTTCCACCTCTAGCATGCGTTTGGTCATTTCCTCTTTTGTGACACTTGAAGTTTCCTGAACTGAATTCAACCTGTCCAAATCTTGATTTAGTTGTTCTATTTCTTCCTTCAAATCATTACACAAGCTCTTACTAGTCAGCAGAGCAACTTTTAGCGATGCAGTCTCCTTAGATGATTGCAATTTTACGATATTGAATTCAGCCTCTAAGCTTTGGTTTCTTTCTTCTGCTTCCTGCAATATCTCCAACACAAAGTCCTTTTCTTTTTTCTCCAAGGCCCTTTCTTCAGACAGGACTAGCAGAGAGGCCTTAAGTTCTTCAACATCTCTTTTAAAGGTGTCTTTGACTTGATTGATCAGGTCTGTGCTAACTTCTTTTTCTGCCATGACAGTCTGGAATCTCTGAAGCTCTTTGCTCATCTCAGTGATCTCTTCTTGGAGGGAGTCACAGGCATTTCTGGTTACCTGAAGCTGGACCTCTGTGCTTTCCCTTTCAGTCACAGTTTCATCCAATAAGCTTAGTAAACTTTTCTGCTCCTTTTCCAGGGCTAACTTTTCAGAAAACAAGCTGCTAAAGCCTTTCCTTACCTGCTTCAGTTTATGCTCAAATGTAATTCTTAGAGAACTGAAGGTATTAGGTGAACTGGTGTCGGCACTATCTTGTACCCAAGACATTGGAGAATTATCAACCGAGTCCTCACCAAGTAAGGTTCTAGGGGGAGAAGTTGAGCTGACAGTATGCCCTTCTTCATCATTATTTCTGCTTTCAAAATTGTGTGCTTGTGGTGAAAGGCCATTGTCACAAATTTGAGAATTTTCACCTTGTTTCCATTTCAATTCATCATTCACAAATGCCAGGCAAGAGTCAAAAACATGCACAGAATCTGCAAGAGTTTGCTTCAAAGTCTGCACCTGTTCATCAGTTGCCTTACCAGATGACACAAGTTTATTGCATTCTATTTTTTCTTGTCGTTTGGCCTCCAGAATGTTGCTCAATGCTGCTAATAGAGTTTCAGTGTTCTCCCTCAATGATGACACTTCACCTAACAATAGAGCTCTTTCACTGTTATGTTGTGTGCTCATTTCATCACACAATGTTTGGTAACGCTGTAAGCCATTCTCTGAAGACTCTAACTTTTCAATCAGTTCATTCACAGATTTGACCAAAGATGCTTTCTCATTCTGAAGTTCTGATAGGGTTAAATGACAATTTTCTGACTCAGCAACAGCCAAGTCCTTTGTTTTATTTGACTCTTCCAGCTCTAGCTGCTTGGCTAATAGAACATCTTGATTTTGCGAATGCTCTGTGAGCAGACGTTCCTTCTCCTTGACAAGTTGCAGCAACTGTTTCTCCAGATTTATTTTTGCTTCTTGAATTTCATCAGCTTCAGATTTTAATTGGTTATAACTGACTTCCCCTTGCTCCCTGAAGCTATTTAGCTCAGCCTCTACATCATGTACTTGCTTCTCAAGAACTTTTGACCTTTCCTCTGCTGTCATCAACTGTTCCAATGCCTGAATAAATTCCTCTTGTTTGATCTCAAGTCTCTTTTGAAGATGTTCATTTTCCAATGAATTAGAACTTTTCAAGATTTCAATTGCTTCCAATTCTTTAGTTTTTAATGATAGCGCCTCATTGAGCTCCAGTACAGATTGTTCCATGTCCATCCTAATCAAGCCAAAGTTCTCAACATCAAGTTTTAAACTGATAACTTGATTCTCCTGAGCTTCTAACTTCTCTGTGAGCTGATCCACACATTTCTCAAGAATGTTTTTTTCTTCTAAGTAAGACTTACACATTGCACCTTGTTCAGTAAGTTTAGTTTCTAGATCATGTTGCAATGCTTGAAGTGCAGCCAACTGACTCTCCAGGGAATGGTTTGTAGTTAACTGGGCTGACATCTGATTTTGCAATTCCTGAAGTTCAACTGAAACCAATTGCCTTTCCTTACATATCTTCAACAGAGAACTTTCTAATCCTGCTGTTTCATCTTGTTTGCTTTGTGAGAGACTGAACAGCAGCTCTAACTGATGATCCTTTTCATTCATAGACTTGTTCAACATCTCTACAACACCTTTAAAGGCACATATTTCCTCTTCTTTCGACATGAGCAGAGCTTGAAGATCCAACAATTCTTTGGCCTTTTCTTTCAAGTTATTTAAACTCTCATCAACACTCTGAGATAATGTTTCATGAGTAAGGGACATTTCAGTCTTTAGTTTCTCATGTGAAGTGGTAGCTGCATGCAGTTTTTCTTTGGTTTCAACCAATGCATAAGCTTCATGCTCATATGCTATTTTCAGTTCCTGTAGCCGAGTGCTGGCAGCTTCAGATGTTTCTTGAAGAAAAGTACATTTCTCAACAGTCTTTAAGAGCTCTTCACATAAACTTGCAGACTGTATTTTTTCGTTCATCAAGGACTCTTCCAAGCTTGCGCACGCTGCTTCAAGAGCTTCCTTTTCCAGTTTATACTGAACGAGGCTGGCGGTTTGTTCGGTGGACAAGGCTTCCAGCTCACTACTCAAGTGATCACTGACGGTGGCCTGCTCTTGCAATTTGGCATCAGCTTTGGCTACAATATTTAGAGTGTCAGAAAGCTGAGATCTAATACAGCTGACCTCTTCATGGAGTTTCTGCTGGGTTACGAGGCTTTCTTTCAACTCTTTAGTCACCCTTTTGTGCTTCTCTGTTTCACACTTGAGGTCTTCTTGGGATGCATCGAGTAAACTCTGCAACACTCTGAGAGACATGCTCAGATCATCAAATGCCTTATTCAGGCTTTTATTCTCTTCTACCACTTCTCTAAGCCTGTGTTGCAGATCTGACAATGTCTCGTGACAAAGTTTAGATGATTCCCTGATGTTTAGCAGGTCTTCTTTAGCCGACTCAAGCACTGACTTGTTCACTGCTGTCTCTTCTATAAGTTTGATAAAACTGGACTTGGTTTCGTCAAAATTAGAAAGTTTTTCAAGTAAGCCATTTTTAGAGGTTTGAAGACTCTCTCTGGTCTGAGCATCTTCTGCTCTATAAGCCTCTAAATTAGACTTGACGTTCTCTTGCAGAGATTTAATCTTGACCAAATTGGTGCTGAGGTCATCAATTTCAGACCTTCGTTTGGAGACGGCAAGCTGGAGATTTTCTGCTTTCTTTGATAGATTGTCTTCAGCCTGTTGTCTCTCTTTCATCATCTTGTACATGTTGTTTTTCAACTCCCTCATGCCTTTCTGTAGCTTGCCACTTTTTGTCCTCTCTTCGAAAAGAGCTGTGTTGACCTTCTCAAGGTTCCGACTCAGGGTCTGGTCATTCTTTTGTTTCTCCTCCTTCAGAATGTCCACCATCATATGCAACTCTCTAACTGACTCTCTCATGTTGCTCATCTCATTGTCACCATTCTCCTTAACCTTGATGAGATTTTCAACTTTGGACTCCAGGTCTCTGATTATAATCCCCTTTCGAGTGATTTCTGAGATGGACTCACCCAGTTCACTTTGCACAGCTTCTACATGCTGGTGGGATGACCTGAGTTGGGTGCTCAGCTCTCGAACAAGGCAGTCCTTTTCCTGATGTTTGTTCTCCAGGGCCGCTATGATCTTTTCGGTGTCTACATGTGAGTTTTTGTGCTCGTGAAGTATGTCCTTCAGATCTTTGAGCTCTGTTGAGAGTTCCATGAAGGAGTCATTGACACTGTTATATCTAACACTTAAAGTGCTTAATTCCACATCCTTCTCTTCCAGCTGTTTCTCCATTTCAAAAATTTGATGGTACATCCGTTTGGACTCTGTTTCAGCTTGTTGGGACAGTTCCTGCAGTCTCTTGTAATGTTCTTCATCTGCCAATTTCAGCTTCTCCTCCATTTCAAAAGTATTTTTTAGGTTTAAAGTTCTTTGAGAAGACATTTCCCTCTCCAAAAGCAGGTAACGAGTTTCCATTGAAAACAGTTTTTCATGTAGTTCTTCTGCAAGTGATGCGAGCATCCCTTGCTGGGAGTACAAGTTTAAAAGCTCCTCAGATTTTTCAGCAACTGAGTTCTTTAATATTGAAATCTCTTCTAAATAACTCTGCAATACTTCTTGGACTTTGCTGCTTTCTTGACTTAACAAAGCTATAGTGCTTTGGGTTTCACCTTGCAGTTTAGCATTGTCTAGCTCTGAAGCCCTTAATGCATTTTCTGTTTGCTTCAGGTCCCTCTGGCAAGATATCATCTCAGCTTGGTATTTGAAAAGTTCTTTAGTTTTTTCTTCCAATTCAACCTGCATGTTAACCAGCTCGAATCTGGTCATTTCATTTAATTTCTGTGTCTCTTGGAGCCTGGCAAGGTTAATCTCCAGCTCTTGTTCAAGTGACATGATCTGAATGTGGAGATCTTGCATACTACTCTTGTAAAGTTCACACTCTTCATCTCTCGTTTGCAGATTGAGTATAAGCCCATTCTTGTCTGCATTTAGCTGGCTTATTTTGGATTGCAGCAGTTCATTAGATTCTCTCTCCCTTTTAATTTCCTCTTCTTTGTCAGATCTAAACTGATCAAACTCTGCAGTGAGTTTTCTTAAACTTTCATTAACATCGTCAATTATTTTTTCCTTTTCATATAAATGTTCTGTACTTGAACTCAGTTCTTCCTGCAGTTTCTTAATCTCCTCTGCTCTTTCTATTAATTCCTTCTCTGCTTTATCCAGTGCTTCATAAAGCTCAGTAACAGATTCTCCCAAGGACTTCTCAACTTTGGACTTCTCTTCTGACACCTCATTGAACATATCAGTGACCTCCTCCAGTTGTTGCTCCAGCGAGACTTTCTGCTTGGTGAGGTCCCTCTTCTCCTCAAGGACCTTATCCAATTCTTGATGTAACATCTCCACCCTTTTCCTCCCATCCACAATCAGTTTCTTGGAGGAGGCAGCAATGGCCAGCAGAGAGTGTTCTGTGTCCTGCTGCTTCATTGAATCCTCCTGTAAGACAGTAATGATTGCACTTTGCTCTGTTATAAATGATTTTAGATGGTCAACCGTGTCCTGTAAATGAGAGGTGACCTGCTTCAGTTTGGTGGAGGACATGCTCAAATTCTCATTAAGTTCACAGTTCTGGCCTTCAAGATCAGATTTGTGTTTTTCTGCGCTCTGGACCAGATCTAACAACTCCATATTTCTGTCTTGTAAACAAAGTCTTTCATTTGTGATCTCCTGCAAGCTGTCTAAAAGTTTCTGCTCAGCTTCTTTCTGTGCTCTGTTCTCACTGGTTAACTGAGAAACTTCATTGGACAAGGTGGCAACTTTCTCATGTAAAGATGATATAGCATCTCTCAGTTCTTTCACTTCAGAGATACTCTCTTCCTGCAACCTTGCCCTTTCTTCAGACAAGCTCTCCAGTTCATATCTTAGCACATCAGCAGCACTTTGCATTGAGGATGTAATAACCCTTTTTTCCTCTTCAGTCTGTAACTTTTCTTCAGAAAGCTGGTTGACTTGAGATCTCAGAGATACTATTGTTGAATTCATGGATGTTTCCAGGTGACTTCTTTCTTCAATCATGTGCTGGACTTCATGCTCCTTCAGATCTAGCTGTGAGTTTAGCAGATCAGTTGCATTCTTCAATGTCTCATTTTCAGCCAAAAGCTCCTGTTTCTCCTCAGAAAACTTTTCTAGGTCAATATATAGTGAATTAATTTCAGCCTGTAAAGCGTTTGTGGACTTCTCCATTTGTTCTACAAGATTGCAGTTGTTCTTTTCTAGTATTTCTAGCTGAGATCTGAGATCATCCACAAGATGCTGTAAACTCAAAACTGTTTTCTCTTTAGCAATGAAATCTTGCTTTAATTCCTGAAGCTCGATTTCCCGTGCGTCAGTGCTTGTGCGTGCAACTTCATTCTCTTGAGACAGTGATCGTACTGTGCCATTCAGTAAACTCATTTCTTGTAACAGCTCTGTTATTCTAGTTTCCTTTTCCATATTCAGTGACTTCATCTGCGAGTTGTCTTTCTCAGAGTCAGTCAGTTTGGTTTGCACTTCTTGTAAGCTCTGCTTCAGCATACCTTGTCTTTCCAACAGTTGGCTATTTGATATCTTCAGCTCCTCCAATCTGGATAGTGAATCTGCAAGTTCCTGCTGAGAAGTTGCAGACTTCTCTCTCTGTTCTCCAAGAGCAGAGTTGGCCTGTTGTAAAGATTCCTCCACCAAAGCAAAAGATTGACTTTTAAGGTCTAGTTCTTCCCGCAAACCTTTAATGAGAATATCAAGATCACTCACTTGTACTTGCAACTCTGCCCTTGCGTGGCTCACCTGGTTCAGATTATCACGGGTGCTGGTCAGAGCCGCCTGGGATTCCTCTCCAAAATTCAGAGCGGCAAGAAGCTGAGACTCCAAGTCCTCAACGGCTGACAGCTTCAGATTAATAGTTTGCTCTTGTTCTTGTAGCAAAACCTTCAAAGCTGAGCACTCCTCATTAAGCTCCTGTATTTTATTATTGAAGGCTGAGATGGTTTCTTTTTCCAAATTCAGAGCTTGATTTATGGTCTCAAAATCTTTCATTAAAATCTGATAGTCTTCAGCCATTTTGGTATGCGCAGTTTTCAGATCTTCCAGCTCTGAAGACTTCATTTCAAAATCGGACTTTAGGAGAGAAGTGTTTTCGTCATATTCTTCGATTTTTGTATCAAACATGTTTCTCATCTCAACAATTCTGTCATCAGCGTTGCATTTCTCTTCTTTCAAATTTGCCAGTTCGTCTTGAAGTTCTGTTTCTCTTTTTCTCAAAAGTTCAACAATATTCTCTAATTCACATTTCTCACATTTTAACTCATTTAGCTTAGTTTGAAGTAGGTCATGTTCAAGTCTCATAGCATCAAAATTTTCACTTGATATAGTCAGTTGGGCAAGTGCTTCAGATAACTTCACTTCTAAATCCAGAAATGCGTCAGTTTTTGCCAACACCTCATTTTGCAGAAGTGCACATCTCTCATCAAGTATGATCTGTTTTCGGGAGGCCTCCAAAGCCTGTGTGCTGAGCACTGATGTTGAAGACAAAGTAGACTGTTGCATTGTTGACACTGATATCAAATCATCTCGTAAGATCTGCATCTGCAAATCTTTGTCTAACATGCCCTGCTTCAGCTCTTCTATATGCTGCCTGTGAGCTGCTAGATCTTTCATGTACTGATCCATTTCTTTCAATGTTAGCTCTTGCTGTTCTTGTAACTTTGAGGTAAGCCCTTCGAAGTATGATATTTTTTCATCAGTATCTTTTTTACAGTTGGAAAACTCATTCTGAACTTCTAATAACTCAGTTTGTTTCTCTTGTAATTCTGTATAAATATCTTGTAGATCTGATTGCAATTTCTGAATTGTAGCAGCCTGACTAATTACATTCTGCTCTAGATTGTTCTTTAAAATATTCAACTCTTCAATCTGCTGGTGTCTGGAGTTCAATTCATTATTCTGTTGCCGAAGTTCATTTGAAAGCTCATTAACATTTGTGTCCTTCTCCTCTAGCTGTTGTTTCATTTGTAGAAGCTCTACGGTTAGCTCTGAAGATCGAGTGACGATACTCATCTGTTCATGTGAAAGAGATTTAAAAGTCTCTTGAAGATGTTCTCTTTCCATTTGTTGATTCTCTAATTCAGAAGTCTTTATTTTGAGATCTTGCTCTAGAGAACCAACTTTGCTGCTCAGGTCTTCAATGATAGAACAATTGATTTTCAACTTTTCTGAATTTTCTTCAAGTCTTTCCTCCAACTCTCTTTTGGCACTCTCAAGTGACCTATATTGCTCTGTATATTCAATATATTTGCTCTGCAATTCCTTGCTTGAGTCTTTATACAAAGCTTCCATTGATTCCAGAGCCTGTTGTTTTAGTGTCAGCTCTGATGTTAGAACTTCAACATTGATATTTAAGTTATTCACAGAGTCCTCCAAATCTGTGCATTTGGTCTTGTTATTTTGAAATTGTACAGCAATGTTTTCATATTCTTTTATTTTGTTTTCTAATTCCAAAGCGGTGTCACTCAACAATTTCTCCAAGCTGCTAAAAGTTTCTAGCTTTATGTCTAACCTGCACTGCATTTCTTCTAACTGGGTCATTAACTTACTCTTGGCCTGAGTTTCCTCCTCCAGCAAGTTCATGGTCTCTGTAAGTTTTTCAGCCATGCCTTGGTTCTCTAATGTAAATTTCTGAACCTCTTCTTGCTTTTCATTTCTCTCCTCAATAACAACTTCAAGTTGGTGGGTAAGACTGTCCATTTGAGATTGTAGAATTTTAGAAACATTCTCTGCATCTGTAAGATGCTGTCTGACATTTAAAAGATCTTCTGATTTAACTGCTAGTTCTTCTGTAGTATCTTGAATAACATGTTCCATTTTTTCCAGACAGATTACTTTTCCCGACAAATCATGTGCAGTGTGTTTCAAATCATTCTTAAGAGTTTCAACAAGTTCCATTTTTTCTTGGAGTTCCGAACTGAGCTGGTGGTTTTTGTCAAAAAGTTCCTCATTATCTTTATTGGAGGTGTCAGCTATCTCTCCGAGCAAAACAACTCTTTCTTTGGTGCTCAGCAACTCTGCCTCAACAGTAGCACATTTTTGTGAATAAATTTCAACCATTTCTTCTAATTCTAAAACTCTCTGTTGGGAGGCACTAAGGCTGGATAGGTTAGTGTTCAAACTGCACTGCTTTACATCAAACTCGTTCTTTAAGTTGTCATGACTTGTAGAAATCTCCTGCAATGTATGCAACAAACTCTGAATCCTATCATCTCTTTCTGCCATTGTTTGTTTAGATTTGTTAAGGGTTGTCTCCTTTTCTTCCAAATGAATTAGAAGTTCAGATCTTTCATTTTCCAGACCTTCCACCCGCTTCTCCAGATCTGTTATCAGGCCAGTTTTAATATCTATTTCATGCTGAATATTTGATATCATGTTTGTTTTATTGAAGACGTCAGCTTCCAAAACAGACACTCTGTCTTTGTTCTCGGCCACAGAACCTTGTAGTGACCCTACCATGTCTTTCATTTCTTTCTGTAAATTGTCCAGCATGTTCTGCAAGTGATCCAATGACTTCTGCTGTTGGGCATTATCAGACTCCAAGCTGTAAATGTTCTTGTTGGCAGCCTCCAGGGCCTCTTCAAATCCAGTGCTCTCAGCATAGGCAGTGGTGAGGTTATCTTTCAGATCACAGATGATATCTTCTTTGCTCTTGATGATTGATTTCAGTTCATCAATGGTGGAAAGTGATTTAGCCAGCTCTGACTCAAGCTGACCGATGACATTGGAATGTGCTGTGCTTTTTTCTTCTGCCATTTTCAGAGCATCTTCAGCAACTTTTAAATGTTCAGAAAGCTCTTCAAAATCTCTGTTTAATTTGTTGTGTTCTTCTCTGATCTGTTGTAATTCACTGCATGTGTCTTGGCAATTTTTGTCCATCTCAGCTAACTTGGCCTGGACTTCTTCAGAGTACAACTTCTCTTCTTTAAGATTTATCTCTAAACTGTTTACCAAAGATGACTGATGATTCATTTTTTCAATGTGTTCACGTAATTTAGACTCCAGATTGTCCTTGAGAGACATCAAACTTTTTATCTGCTCATCACTAGAAGCAGACGTTAGCTGAGCAGTGTCATTAAGAAATTTTATCTCTTCATCTTTTCTCTGAAGTACTGCCTGCATCTTGTCCAGTTCAAATTGTAACCCACCTAGTTCTTCCTCATGAGCAGCTTTCAATATCCTGTGCTTTTCTTCCAAGGCTTTCAGAGTACTTACTTTATCACCAAATGAACTCTTCAGATCTTCAATCTCTTTCATGTGGCACTCTGTCTCCTGCTGCATTTTTTCAACACTTTGAATTAATAATAAAATATTTTCATTTAAATACTGCTCCAAGTCAGGAAAATGTACAGGAACTTCCTGTGCATTCATTCCTGATATACTGGCACACAAATGGTGCAATTTTGATGCTGTGTTTGAAATTAATAACTCCTTCTCTTGTAACTGTAGATGAAGATCTGATTTCAAAGACTCGCAAAGATCTTGTTTCGTGACACAGTCACTCTGTAAGGCACCGTTTTCAAGACTGAGTCTCATCACTTGAGCGTCCAGTGCAGACAGCTGATCAGACACTCTCTTGTTCTCCTCAACTAGTTCATTATGCTTGCCAATCATTGCACTTAACTCCTCACTGACGCTTGTGTGTTTTTCAGTCCACAAGACCAGCTCATCTTGTTTATCACTGCATTGGCCCCGTAGAGCTGTAACTTCATTATTCAATGCTTCCAACTGTTGAGTCAGCAATTCATGGCTTTTTACAGACAGCTGGTACTGTTCTTGAATTCCATCTTTCTCCTTTTCACTGTCTTCTATGACTTTTTGAAGCCTTGCAGTTTCAAGCAGTGCTTCATCATGTTTTATGACTAGATCTGCAAACTGTTGTTCAACAACTTCATGCTTGCTGACTAAACTATAGAATTGTTCTTCCTCCTCTCTGTGCTTGGACACCACAAGTTCCAGCTCTGATTGGATTTTATTGTAATGTGTGACTAGACTGTGTAAATCTTCTTCTGTCTTCTTCACCTCTTCATGAAGTATAGAGTTTTGTGCCTCAGTTGCTTCATTTCTCTCTTGTAATAAATGCAGCGCTGTATCTTTCTCCTGTAAGGAAACCTTCAGCTCTGAAACTTGGTTATCAATTTTTGTAATTTCAGCTTCCTTCTCTTCCAGCAATGTCCTGGCTGAATTCAGATCTGCTTTATAGCTCTCCACTTTAGACAGAAGTTCTTCATGAGAACCTTTGTTTAAACTTTTCAGTTCCTCAACTTCTTGCCCATATGACGCTTTCAGGGCAGACAGAACTGATTCTAGTTCTTGAACCTGATCATGGTGCTTTGCCTCTGAATTCTGCAGGTGGGATTTCAACTCAAAGATCTCTTTAAGATGGGTGTCAACAGTTTTTTGTGATGTTGAAAGACTTGATTGATACGACAAGATCTGCTGATTTAGTTCAGATACTGTGTGTTCCAAATCACAGGTGGTGTTTTTGGCTTGAAGCTTGAGAGATGTAAAGGCACTCTCTGTAGACTCTAACTTCTCATTTAACATGTGCAACTCTTCGGTACATGCCTCATAGGCACTGGTCACATTGCTCAATTCTTGTATTTTACTGCTGAGATCTTCTTTTGAAATAATGAGATTGTTACTTTGTGTTTGGATTTCCTGGTTAAGGTTTTCAATGGTCAGCCTGGAGGATTCTTTTAACTGGCTCATTTCTAATTCTTTGTCTTGGAGTATCTTATTACAGTGAGACAGTTGTTCCAGAGTCTTTGAAAACAGTGCCTCCTTTTCATCCAGCACCTGCCTGACTGATTTCAAGTTGAGCTGGGCAGATTCAGAAGAACCTATCGCCTCTTTTAAATTTTTCTGAGTTTGCTGCAACAAATCCTGAGAATTGACTAAATCTAAAAGTGTTTGGTCGTGGGTAACTGAAAGTGATGTCAACTTATTGTTCTGCTCCTTCAGCTGTACTATCAGATCAGATCTTTCAGTTGCTAAACTTTCTAGTTCTTTGGTTGCCCTGTCTAGTAGGGAACTCTTTTCACTCAACACTGTGTTCAGCTCATTCAGTAGGAGATCTTTTTCTTTAAGCTGCATCAGCAAGTCATTGAGCTGTGAACCAGTTTTTGTCAAATTTGAGGTGGTTTCTGAGAGCTGCACCTGCAGTTCCATGAGCTGAGCTGCCATTGAATCTAGATCAGTGTCCTTTCCCAGTATCAGCGAGCTTTTTTCCTCTAGCTGACTGCTCTTAACTTCAAGCTGTTCCATCAGCAATGACTTGTCAGAGGACAATGTTTTGAGTTGTGAGAGTAAATCAGCTGCCTCATTGGTCTTTTCTTCCAGGAGTACTTTTAGAGTGTCGACATTTCTAGATGAAGCATCAAGCTTTGCCTTAAGATCCTCCATGGATGAATTCAACTGATGCACCTCAAGTGATAAACTAGCTGTGGATTGTGACTTGGTTTCCATGTCTGCTATCAGGAGTTCCAACTGTGAATGTCTCTCATTCAGCTTTGTCTCTAGTGTCTCATTCAAGGACTGCAAGCTGACAAGTTCATTCATTCTAACATTCAGCTGATGACCGAGGTCAGCACTGGTTGCTCTCTGCTGATGGAGCTCAGATGTCAAGAGAAGAACTTGTTCATTTAATGAAGAAACCCTTTTATTAGAATCTGATTCTAAATTACTTAACTCTTCTTGCAAAGAGATATGTGACTCTGTTAATCTAGAGACTTCACTACTAAGTCTAACCAAATCAGTTTCAAGTAGCCGGCATTTTTCAAAAACAGACAGGTAGCCGTTGTGCTCCTCCTCTAACTTACTGGTCAATGTTTCAACAGATTCGTTAGCTAGTTGAGAATCTCTCTCAAGTGTTTCTAGCTTTTGAAGCTGCTGGTTGTACAACAGCTGTAACCTGTCAAAACATTCACACTTAGAGGACCACTGGGCATGCATGTCATCAAGTGATGACTGCAAGGACTCCACTGTATGGGAGAGTTCAGAACACTTGGTGTCTGCCTCAGACAGAGACTTCTCCAGCATGCAGCATTCATCTGAAAGAGACTGTACATGCAAAGACTTCTCATGGACAGATGCAGTTAGAGTGTCGACAGAAGATTGAAGTGCATGCTTATCAAACTGTATAGAGTCAAGTGATGTTTGAAGATAGGATACATCTTGTAAGGCAAGCTGATTACTCTCACATAAAGTCCTCACCTGCTGGTCCAAGTGGCTCTTGTCTGCTTGAACTTTCTGCAGGGCTGTTTGTAGGCTGTCGGCCCGCTTTTCTTGTTCTGACAGAGCTGCATTCAGTAAAACAAGCTGAGAGTCTTTATCAGCACAGGCATTACGAGCTGCAGCAACTTCAGCTTCCAGAGACATGACTTGTTGATGGGATGACGCTTTCTCATCCTGCAGTTTCTGTATAATTTCTTGGGTTTGTTGAGAATCTTCATCAATGGAACAAGACATTGTTGTGATCTTTTCATTGTAGGATGCGACCTGCTGCTGGAGGGATTCGTTGATGGATTTAAACTCCAAAAGTTTTGAGGTGGACGAGTCTAAATCTGAAGATAGTGTCAAAATTTGTTGCTGGAGGCTGTCACAGTTTTGTTTAAGGACCATCAGTTCAGTCTCTTTACTCTCTATCACAGACTGCAAGTGACTGATGTTGTCATGGGCACTTGTTAGCTCAGTTTGAACAGAGACTAGAGATATGTTTAGAGATTCAATAGTTCTAATTTTATCTTCCTCTATTTGTTTGATATATGCTGCCTTCTCTGAAAGTGCTTCTGTAAAGTAGTTACATTTTTGAGAGATTTGGTCCAAACTTTCCTCAAGTCTTAACTTTGAGTTTGTTTCTACTTCAACACTATCTTTTAAAGTTTGTGCTTCCTTATCTTTCTCTATCACAGTCAACTGAGAATGCTGAAGGGAATGTTTGAGTTCTTCCATCTGCTGGTTTACAAGAGCTACCTCATCTTTCCTTTCATCCAAGTGGAAAGACAATTCTGAGATCGTAGCTTGCTGGGTGGAGGACAATTTTTGCTGAGAGGCGAGCTCAGACTCAAGCTCTGACAGCTGATTGAGCAGAGAAGTGGTCTTCTCTTCCAGCTCCTTTCCCTTTTCACTCTGACCCTCCCTGGCCACATCCAGTTCTCTTTTTAACTGTTTGACCTGGAGTTCAAATTCCTTACAGCGGTCACCACTTTGTTCCAAGGACACTTTCAGGGATCTCAACTCCTCGTTTGCTGCGGTGAGATCAGCCATGAATTTCTCCAGGGATGAAGACTTATCACTGAGATCTTTGGCCTGATTCTCCAACTGAGACCGGAGATTGTCTATCTCACTAAGGAGTTCAGTTTTCAGGGATGCCGTCTGTTGAGACGTAGCTAGCAATTCTGACCGAACAACTGCAAGATCGGATTGTAAACTTGCTCTGTCAGCCTCAAGGTTGACCTTTTCGGCCAGGATCTTTTCTTTCTCTTGCTGTAAGATATCTGCTTTGGTGGAACAGGACTGTAGCTCGGCATTGATGGCCACCTGAAACAAAGGAGTCTCTCCTACAACCCAGTTTTACACAAATCAAACAGCTTTTTCATAGAAGGAATAAATGTATACGAGAAGCAACAAGCCTGTTAACTGAAACTAAAATATTGAAGAAACTAATAAATGTAGAAGAACACTTTTTTAACATCTCCTTTCATGATAGGTTAGAAGCTTTAGTTTACAAGGCTTTAAAAAAATAAACTATAAGTGTTTCAAAAATCAACAAATGGCTTAAAACATGATTCTAAAACAGGGAATGCTTAAAGGTTTACATCATCCTTGCTTATAAGATGTTGATTGTTGAGTAATATCAAATCCAATTTTCAACTAAAAATAATTTTTATCTCAATCATCCATGCACTGTTACTCTTAACCCCAAAAACATTTTAACATTGACCCTCACTGGATTGAACTTTTGATTATTTCACATACAAAGTCAAATAAGTGGAAGATTTTGACCTTCTTTTTTTCCATCATTTAAATAAGAGAATCATGTTTTAAACCCTACTCTGACTTAATTATACCAATATTTAACTAAGCATGCTGTTATTTTGTCAATACATTTTTGCTGTGCTGCTTATGAAAACTAATATTAGTTTTGGCATGGGTTAAATGCTATATGAATCCCAAAATTCATGCATATAAATTATATTTATGATACTTAGAGAACAAATAAAATAAAATTCAGCTTGCAAACTGCATTAATTTACTTGTATTCAACACTAAACCAAGTGCTACGTGAAATTACAAAGAGGTGAGCATTACTATCTTAAAGCCTTATCAGCCATGCCCACAAAGTGCAGGTGTAACAGAATACTGTTGAAATAAATTGATTGAATTAGACTTTCAATCAAACGTTTATAATTAAGCTTTGATGATGATATTAATGTACCTAAAATTATTAGGGCTGATAATGTCTTACAAAAAATAGATAGCAGCTCATTAGTACATTAGAATATCCATAATTGTGCAAATAGCTTATATTTGGTGTACAAACTAACAATCCCTGAATTTTAAAGCATTAAACATATTCATCCCATTTTAGCAAATTTCAATTTAATCCTTAAACACACTTATCAAATATCTGTCTCAGGAAGGATAAAAATCATCTTAGTGAACAAGCTTGTAACTTATATCGAAATTATTAATAAATGAGAATAACTGTTGTAAAAACTATGCTCTATGAAAGCATATCAAAGCAAGAAAATTTTAAAAACAAAACTTCTTGAACTCACTCTCTCCTGCTCAGCGGATGAAAGCTCTTCTTTGACCTTCTCCAAGTTTGAAACAGATTCCTGCAGTTGAAGTTCAAGAGCAGTTAACTTTGAAAACAACTCGTTAATCTGCTCTTTCTGTTCCTTGCTGATGTTCTGTTCACCTGACAACGCTGCTGTCAGCTCTGAGATCTTGTGGAGATGAAACAAGAAAAAAAAATGAGTTTTGTATTATTTTGTAAAACAAACAAAGATTTTTTTAAAAATTAAATCCAACTTCCACATAATAAAAATTTTGGTACACTCAAGTTAATGATCAATTACTAAACCCATTTAATGATAATTTTCCTTCCATTGACACTAACCTTTATTTTTAATGTGTCATATAAGAATATATAGACAATTGCAGTGTTCGAGGTTATTACTCAGGGTTTGTCTTATAGCCTAAAACAATGACTTTACAATACATTTTATCCATTGTTAATGTCAGTGACTTTCAAAAGATGCAAATGTTGAGGGGAGGGGGGGGGGGAATGTTTAATCAAAGATATAATACAAAATGACTATTATACTCACTTTAACCTTTAAATCACCAGTTTCACTTTCAAGCTCAGAGGTGCTTTGTTTCTCATGATCAGCCTTTTCCCTTGCAGCCCTCAGCTCTTGCAACAGTTCAGCTTTATCCTGTTCAAGTCCTAAAATTTCAAAACATAAACATGATCTCACTCATCTGGTGGATTCAACAATTTCAATATTCATTTTTTCCCTAAAAAGCCTCTGAATTATAAAAATATATATTTTTAAAAAAAAGAATTGTTTTAAATTTACATTATGCAAACTTGCAATGGAAAGTTAATGTTAATGTTGTTTCTTTTCATTGCTTAAACATTGTTTAGAATTATCAGAAAATGCTTTAACTCACAGCAGTTTCACAAATGTCTGATATGATTATTATTTTTTAATTCTGAAGCCTATTCCAAACCTTGCTTCTCTTGTTCGATCTCTGAGAGTTTAATGTCATACAGAGCTTTATCCCTCTCAAGTTCAGAAAGTCTAGCAGTTTTTACTTCCAGCTCAGCGTGAAGATTTTTTGATTCCGCCGCCAGTGCTATTAATTTCTCCGCTTGTTCTTTCTAAAACAAAAATGCATATTTACAAATCATTTACACTTTATGTAATTAACTGCCCAAAAATACAATTATATAACAGGAAATGTAATTTGGGAAAAAAAACAAAGATATTTGGATTAAAAGCAGTCATAAAAGATTACATGAAATTTTTCCAATATCTTTCTTACAGCTGAAGATTTTCTTCTTTTTTTAAAATACATTTTATGCACATAAGACATATGAGTAAATTAAAAACAATAACTCTTATAACATACCAAATTCGCCAAAGTCTCTTCCTTGTGTTGTTCATAGTCATCAACTCTTTGTTTCAATTCTTCTATTTCTTTTTGCAAACTGTGTTTATCAATCTCAGAATTTCTCAAGGCAGTCTTAGCATCTTGGAGTTCTTGCATTTGACTTCCTTCAGCCTGTGTTACAACGTAAATGACATGTTGAATCTTTAAAATTACTTTTAGTAAGTAATTGGAATAAGTAGTTGGAAAAATTAATTGCACACGCACAACAAAATTTGGTAAATTTTTTACTTTAGTTTTAAAAAAATTAGAAAACTTACAGAGTCAAGAATTGCCTGTAAGTCTGTGACTGTCTGGGTGAGCTGCGTGTTTTCTTGCTTTAAGGCATCAATTTCTTTTTGAAGGGTTTCTTTCTGATCATGAACCATGTCCACTACTCCTTGCAGCTCTTCAATCTGTGCTCTAAGCTCCACTGGGATGAAAAGTTGATTTTAAAAAAGAAAAAATGTTAGCATCAAAATTCTTAACCATTAAACATAATAAAGATGATGACTTATTCAGATGACTTAATTACATTCTGCATTTATCGTTCCCAATAACTTATTTTAACAGAACATGAAATACCTATTGTTGATGATTTTTCATTGAATTCCACCAGCTTCTCTTCAAAATCTCTCTTCTCATCCTCTAGTTCTTTTATTCTGCTTTTCAGCGATGCAACTTCATCTGCCGGCTGTTTGTTCTGAGAATAAATTTGATCAAACTACAATTGTCTTGATCCTGAAGTAACAAAGAGATCAGATTTTAACAAAAAAGAAAGAAGAATCATTAACTTTGCCTCACTGTTTATAATAATAATCTGAAAAAACAGTAACTGACTTCCTTTAACTCCTGTAGCTGCTTCTCAAGTGCTTTAATTTTATTGGTCATTTGAGCTTTGACCTTGAGCAGTTTAGTGTCACTTTTGGCTCCCCCTTCATCAGCAGTTTGTTGTGATGTAACTCTTGGATTTGTCTCTAATTCTTTAACCTACAGAAACACACCAAAAAAAAAAACGGCTATAAGAAGTTCTACTCGATTTCAATTATCTTCCTACTTTTTGACAACAATATTTGTTTAGGTTCGAGATGGCATGGACAAACCACCCACCCCCCATTCTTCCCAGGCCAAATTTCATCCTGTTTGACAAGTGCTGTGTTCAGGGTTTTTTTATTCATGGTTTGCTATCTACAACACTCCCCCCCCCAACACACACACACACACACAGCATGGCTATGTTGCATCATGTTTTCCACATTACCATTTCCATAGCTGAGGACAATTGTGGCCAAAGTCAAACCTATTTCCTCTTGATTATGAGGTAGATATTTTCACACTGCACAATGCACTTAGGCCTAAATAATCCTTGATACCATGGATACTAGTGTTTTAAGAAAGATGGGACTAGGCAATTTGAGGCAAAATTAGTATTACTCTGATTGAACCAAACATATATGTACATAACTTCTACTTCATGTTGAGCTTTTCTTGCATTTACATCTTTAATACAATTAACAGAATCCCACGTAAATAATAAGCTTATAGGAATACTTCTACAAATATCAATAATATGACAAAATGGGAATGAAAGAATGTAATTAAATTAAATGATAAACTTATTTCTGTGGATAAAATACCTGTGCAGAGAGCTTGTCAATGGTTAGAGTGGCTTCTTCCAGTTGTTTTTTCAGCCTGTCAATGTCAGGGTTCTTGTCCTTGCTGGCAGCAGCTGACATCTGAAATCATTAATTTATCATGAACTGTAATGTTGTTCTTTTTCAACCTAATTTTTTAACCTTTTCATTTGATTTGATTTTAGCCACAGAAAACATTTTTATATTCTTATTTCTGTCATTTACTTGTTCCACTTTCATTGAAATACAGTCAAATTTAACTCATTCACGGCAGTTGCGACCTTTGGGAGTTTCGACGGATGCGTCCAAATGTGTCCCGGCGCATAGCAACACACCTCTTTTATTTTTAGTTAAAAATAGCAATGGAATCTCGCGTCTCTCGAGACTTCCGGCTATGGTGTAATTCTGCGTGATTTTAATTTAAAAAACGCAAGTTTTTTATCTTGTTTCACTAGCATGTGTTCATGCAAGGTGCCAAAAATCGATTTTTTGGCCATTGTTCATTATTTTTTCGCTGCTAATGTCATATTTTTATTAAACATTATTTATTTTTTGATGTATTCATCCTTAATTCATTAACATGTATTATATTAATATTTAGCAGCTGAAAAAATATTTTAAAAATGTAAAGCAATTTCAAAACTAAGTTGCTTCCCTTTTCTCAAGAAAATAAATTAAGTACAGAGGTAGCACTGCCAGAGGGAATGAGTTAACTTCACTTTGTTGTGGTAGAAAGATATTTTAAAATAAGAGACCAATTTTACCTCTTTAACATGTTCAGGATCAACATGTCCAGCCAAGGCTTGCTGATAATGTTCTTGCAGACGACCATACTGTATAGATGCCTGCGTGTATGCCGTCTGATATTGTGCTAGTGTTGACTGCAGGGTCTGAAGCTGAAGTTCTTTTTCTGACAACTAATTAGTAAAATAAATTAGGACAAGCATGATTTTTTAAATTTGAAATTTAGATGTTTTTATCATTCACTAACATCAAAATTATTGCCGGACATTCAATAAGAAATTATTTGGTTGGTGGAAAGCCAATGAGCGGCGGAGTACAGAATTTAAATTTAATTGAAGGCTTATCAAAAGAAAGTGATTAATAACACAAAAACAAATAAAATTTCACCTCCGTTTCATGTTTTTCAACTGTGTCCTTTAGTTTATTCTCCAACCTCAATTTCTCATCCTTCCACTGGGTTTCCATATCAACAAAACTGGCTTGTAGGATCATCATTTGTTCTGAAGACATCTGCAGTTTCTCCTTCAAAAGTCTCTGCGTATCTCTGCTGTCAGACAACTCCTTATCCTTATCAGCATTCTCTTTCTGAAGGACTGAGATTACTTTTAACTAAAAAAAAAAAAAGATATTTAAATAAATTATAACTTTGAAGTAAACAAAAGTAAAGTGATATCACTTTTAACAAAAATAAAATATTTTTATGTCAAACTACCAGAGGCTTATATAATAATATTGATCCACTCGCACAACATTCTTTAACCTGGGTTTTTCAAACAAAGATTTTAAAAAATTGACTTTGTAGACACCCCCCCCTCACCACTCCCATACACAGACAGACACTAATTTCTCTTTTGTCTAACCTTTCCGTCAAGAACATCATTAGTATCCTTGAGTTTATTCTCCAGCAACTGAAGGGCATGATCTTGAAGGTTGATATTGTCCTTATTCATGAGAGCTTCAATGTCTCGCTCGTGCTTGGATATCTGTTGTATTAAATCATTCTCTCTCAAGGACAGATCTTTACTTTTTTCTTCTATAACAACGCGCAACCTAAGAACAAGAGAAAAACAATGAACCAAATAAAAAAAAATGAAATTTTTAAAAGCAATTAGCTGCAGTTTCCAACATATTTCTTTTTAATGGGAATGGTTGAAGGAATTTTTAAAATCTGAAGGAAAATTTTTAAAAATATTCTAAGTGAAACTTTCATGAGATCAAAATAATAAGTGACTATTTTATGCAAATAAAGAAATAACAGAACATTTTTGGCAGTAAGATTGAGAAATAGTTTCCACTAGTCCATTATAAATTAATGATATTTTTAAAAGAAAAAAAAAAAATGATAAGGATCCGTCCAATTGTCATTCCTACCTTTTGGTCTCTGTGTCCATGTCTTGGAGCATCTCCTCAAAATACTTTTGTGACTCTGTCAGCTTGATGTGAAAACGTTCAGTCTCAGTCTTGAGTTCTTGACTTTTCTGTCTCAGCTGCTCAGATACATCATCTACTTTCTCATTGGTGGACTCCACCCTGGCTGTTAGTTTACTGATTAGCAATGCTTGGTCCTGGACTGTTTGATCTCTTTCTTTTATGGAATTTTGTAGTACTTCTATAACTTTATCCCTGCCACGTATCACCTGATCTTTCTCACCAGCAAACTCTTGCAAGTCCATGATTCTTTTGTCTTGATCAAGTATTTTATTATTTAGTTCTATTATCTTGCGATCTTTATACACCATTTGAGCATACATTTGACTCTGTATTACAGTAAGAAATAAATTATATCAGTTGTTAAGAGCACAAAATATTGAACCATCAAATATTATTTATACTATGTCGTGGAAGGGAAATATTTGAATAAACTTCTATGGTCATTTTTGTCTACTATGAATTCATCGCAGAATTTTATTTTTAAATTCAATCATTTAGGACAGGCCTGCACAACTCAAAATGTAAGGCGGGCCATAATACTTTTTGAAAAACTTGTGCGGGCCAAAAGAAAATAGGAAAGGACTTGTGCTGGCCAAAAGAAAATAGGATGGGACTTAAGCGGGCCAAAAGAAAATAGGTCAGGGGGGAAGCTCTTAAGAAAATTATAAGAATAAAGAATATTTCGTTACTTTGCGGGCTGCCAAGTGGGTGCTGGAATAGAAAAGTATTATCATAATATACTTATGTTAGGAAACTGCTTCGGTGAGGTATGCAAAAGAATTTTTCAGCTTATTATAGTCTTGCATGTTTGACCATTCTAAAAATCATTTTTTTTTAAAAAGGACACAATGATTTTAGATCACTCAATCGTTTAAAATATTAACAAATAGTTAATTACCACTTCATCCCCTGAATTTGAACCCCCTGATGATTTCTGCATGTTCTCCATAGCTCTTGTCTTCTGTTCCAATTGATCATTCAAGTCAGCAACAAATCCATCACGCTCTGCCAATACCCTCTCTTTGGCTTCTAGCTGGCTTTCCCTCACACGAATCACCTCCTCTTTTTCAGCAATTATACGATCCTTTTCGTCCAACTTCCGCTTAAGAAGGAGTGCCTTAGCCCTGTTAGCCTGATGAGCACCATCTTCTTGGCTTGCCCCTTCTTCAAAAGACTCCTAGAAAAAAAAAACATATCTTATTAGAATGAGGCACATTTTTTTTTTTTTGCTATATAATAAAATTTGAATTCATGTTTGGATTTTCACAAAATTTTGTTAAGGAGATTATTTACAAAGTTAGATAAGATGATAACAGATCACTAGTCAGTTTCAATATCTATCATTATTTGTATTGTCCAGCTTAGGAGCCTGTATTCATAAATACAATTGCTTGCTCAGAATCAAATATGGAAGCTTTACTTTTTCATGACCTTCCTGTGCTTTTTTCACTTCTGACAACTGTGTTTTTTTAGCAGCTTTTGCTTTAGCTTGCAAACGCAGCTTGGACATCTTTGCATTTGTTTCCTATAAGACAAAGGTTCAACTCCATAATTTTATATGTAGGTTATCTTTCAAGTTGGTTCAAATGCATTGTTACAAAAAGCAAACAACTGATCAGTGAGTTGCATACAATAGTACAATTTCAATGCTGACAAAAGAATAGTTGTATTTCAATAAATTTCTGAAGATAAAACATTTAATTTAATAATTAATACTACAGCATTAAAATACAGAAAATGTATACAAGAAAGTGTTAGAATTCAATCATCAGTTTTGCATTTACAATAGGACACACCCATATAAGTATAATTTTCTTCTTATTCCAAGATAACAAGTCTAGTGAATAACAAGTGGAATAAGTGAAAGAGTCTTGTGCAAAAAAATGTTAACACCTAGAAATTTAAAGTTTTTCTATTTAAAAGTTATAGGTCAGCACTGACTTTCTATTCTTTGAGCTGGCTAGAGATAACATTTGCGTATACACTAGAAATCATTTAACATCAAAAAATTTAAACATGGATATAAATTTATTGAAATAAAAAAATTTTTTTCCCCATACAAAATGCAAAGCGATTTTTAAAAAAATGTATTATCTCTAAATATTAAAAGAATATTACATTAAATAAGAGATTTTTCATCTCAGAAACACAACAGACATATCATCACTTAATTGATTTCTATTTAGTAAGCCAGCTTGTATTAAAAGACATTAACATACAAGAATGCTGCTTACCGCCTACCATCCTTACCATTTAAGGCCATAAGGATCACTTTTAGGAATTTGTTCTTAGGTTTCCACAAATGAAGCAGTGAATTTTATGTTTGGTAAACTATTTATAAACATACCTCCCACTGCTATAAACAGTATTATGGAAAAAGGAAGGTGAAAATTAACCCTAATTCACTAGAAGTTTAAATGGAAATATATATTTTGAGAGGCTATTATTATTAATCAATAACACTGTTTATTTGTTAAAAAAGGGGTAATAAGGGGAGAAACTGCAATCAGGTTCAACCCTACTTTGTTTTAGTCATTTTATTTTGTTTATTTGTTTAATGAAATGGTTTTTAGGGGTTCAAATACTAAAATTATGGTATTTTATCCCAGGTTGATAGATATAAATCTGAACTGATAAATTGCAGTTGATAATTTTTTTTAATTTCTTTCTTTCAAAGACTTACATCAATCTAACTAAGCAAATTTAAAAGTAGTAACTGCTAAAAACAAAACAAAAACTGGCAAGTTACTAACTCTATGCAATAAAATGTATTGAAATCCTTACTTGCAGCTCCTTCTCTTTATTTTGTAAAGCTTCATCTCTATCACGAACCAAAGCCTTAAGATGTTGAATCTGCAGCTGGTTCTGTTCAAGTTCCATTTCAGCATCTGTTCCTGCCATGTTGTTTTACTAAATGACAATTCAATCTATTACTGCAAGAGCAAGAATAATATGGAATTTCATTAAGTTGTGTAAATATAAATACTATCGCAAAATGGTATGAAAAGAGATTTAATACTTTTCAATATAGAATAAATCTATACATGTTTAAAAAAAGGAATGAGCATCATTGGCCCTGTGTTGTTTGTTAACTCAAAGATAACATATTTCACAACTTGATTACCTTACAAATTTTGTTAAAACACCAGTTGGACATGGCCTTGAAAACAACTTTGTAGCTAATTTCAGATGCTCTTGATTGCGAGTCTTGCATCAAGTTGGTGTTCAAAAAGTACTTCATTTACAGTAAACTGGTTGCACACTGAAAATAAAAAATTTTAAATATATAGTTTAAGAAATTTTATAAATGGTTTCCAAAAAAAGAAACTGATAAGCTCCAGATAAGGGATGTTAATATGATCTTTTCCAACAAACGTGTTTTGGTTTTAGGAACCCGATTTTAAACATGTTATTGGTTTTTATAATGCATTCCTCACTATGCCCGACAGGAAGGTATGATAAAATAATATAATATTGTAAGGGACAGTTGAAATTCATTTTTAGAACTGTCAAGCAACTTCTTCCCTGTTAAATTTTTATAGCAAAGTTTGGTACCAGCACTAGTCTCCCATCAAGTGTGGGGTGGTTAAATCATGCCGGAAAAGAAAGTGCCAGAAACCTATATTTATATTTAGTGACCAGACTGCGATAATGTGATCTGCAAACTTGTTAAATGATATCTAATGCTGAATAAAAAAAATCTGCTATATAAAGCTACGTCAGATTTTACCCTAAGCACCAGTCATCTGTTTTTGAAAACTACCTCTTTTCCCTTGAAAAAGATTCTAGCCCTCATCCTTTCTTCACATCAATCACTTTAAATTATGATTAGACCAGCAAAGTATCATTGAGTAGTCTACATTTTTTATTATTGATTGTACTGTATGTTTATTTATTTTTGAAAGTCTTTTACTTATTAAATAATTTTGAAAAGTTCAGGAGTTTTATTTTCTTTCTTTAAAAGAGATTAAGATTAATTAAGTTGATTCTTTTTTGTAAAAGTCGTAAAAATTAACAACAGATTATCAGTTCCAAAACAGATAGACTCTAACCAGAAATTTGATAATGGCTTTACATCCTCACTCCAGAGTATCTATTATCAACATGCACAATAATTAAAAGTGCTCTAGTTGTTCTAGTTCAAAAGGAATTATTTTCAATTTAACAAAAAAAAGACTACCATATATACTTGGTATTTTGGGGGGAAACATTTTAGGGGAATTAGTAGTGTAGTGGGCATATGGCAAAATCTGGTCATAGGAGATTTATCAGTTCCCCCAAGCGCATTGATTATATTATGGTAAAGAAAAGAACACAATAAAGAAAAAAGTAAATAACAAAGTCAACATTAAGCCATGAACGATGTTGGGTCACTTGATTTTTCCTCATTTTATGACTGCTGTGATTGGCTATATTATAGAGTATCAAATTACTTAAAGTGAATAAATAAATGTCAGATTGCCATATAATATTATTCATTATTATATAAGATTGTAGTAGGTTGAAAATTAAGCTGATTCCCCACCCCCTTTCTTTTCCCAGTTATGATATGGATGGTCCTCAAAACTCAAACATGAGTTAATTGGCCATCCATCAAGGGATAAGAGGGGGTTCATAAATTTGTGACAATGTTTATAAAGGAGTATACATTATGTGATGACTGGGGGTGTGGTATTAAGTTTGCCAAAATAGTGTGTGAAATGTATGTCAGGCTAAGTACTTAGAGTTAGTAACAAGTGTAGTGCAGTGGCAGTTGTCTACTACTTTTAATTCACATTAATTTTGAACTCAATTTAACTATTGCACTACTTATATTGCGACTGTTTATTTATCTGTTGATAGAATTATAGTATTCATAGTTAGTATGCTACCCTTTTTAACTTCAACTTCACAATTTGCTCAACAAGTGTTTAATTTTAGACTTTATTAGTATTAGTATTAATTTTAGTTTAGTTTGACAATTTTAGAGCCTATTAAAATACATTTGATTTTCGACGTAATGTGCAAGTAACATAAGTGTTTTTAATAGTTTATTACATATAATTCGAGTATTGCAATTTAACAACACAAGCTCCTTTAAAATAGTGCATTGCATACTTTCCGCTAGTTTTAAACATGTTTGCGTGTCAGCGGCAAGAGTAAATAGTTGTTATCCTCCATCTTGCGACACTTGGCAATCACGTGACCGGAATTCCAAAACAGTAGAGTTGTCGTTACTAAGCATGTACTTTTAATGTCCTGTATTCTTAATTAACTCCGAATATTTTATAACGGTGGCATAACTACGGTGGAAGCAACTACAGTCATGTCAGGGGGACGTTTACGGCCACAAGCTTGAAATAAGTTTAACGATCTATTGGCCTTGTTAAAGGGTCATCTATAAAGGACGTCACACTAGTTTCGGGTCGTCCATTAATAACGTCAACAATTTTTAGTAATATTTGACCCCCACCCCCTTGTCAACAACTGTCAAACTTTCAATGACCCTTTATTTCATTATGTCAACATTTTCTAAACCCCCACCCCAACAAAATATGGAATTATATTATAAAAAAAATATATAAATACCTTTTACTTTGTGCTGATCTATTTTAATGAAAATTGTAGGAAAAACATTACATCTTAGCTTGTTAATCAACAAGTTAACAAGTTTTTACACTTTTTAATGCAGAATCAATTGAAAGGTTGTTAAAGACTAAATATCATTGTTTCTGGTATAAATATGATTATTGTCAGTAAAGCTGACAAGTATAGTATAGTTTCTAGCTGCTATCATCTTCGTAAGGAGTAGAACGGTTTGCTCTTGTAATAATGGGCATCAGGGATATCATTTGGGTAGGGCGGGGGGCACTTTCCCCCACCCCTTAATTTGCAGGTTTAAATTGCTATGTACTGTGGCACCTCTAGTAATAAACAACTTAACAAGCCGACCAAGTTTTGTCTCGCTCCCCTGAAAAAAAAAATGAAATGACGCCCCTGATGCGCAAAGTCTATAGTAGCTGATTGATCATTTTCATCTTGCGGCACCAATATACCAGACAAGTCAACTTCATCCTCATCTAACCATTCAGCACTTAAAATAGAAGCATTGGCGTGTGAACAATAATTGCCATAAGCTCTTTCTCCCTATCTCCTTGCAGCTACTCGCATTGGTCGAATCCTTTTTTGTTGAGGAGCAGTTGATAATTTCTTATGCTCAAGAGGGTATTGTCAGTTCTGTTGAACATGCTTTTTCATCATGACTTGTGATGCAAAATAAATGTTACAGATTCTGCAAACCCGTTCAAGCAGCGATGTTATTATTGCTACTCACTTTACTTTCCCCTAATTCTCAAAATATCATATTCCTACTCTATCAATATCATTTATCTTGACTGCACATGAGCTTGAACCTTGTCCTTGTTCCATGCCTGCAACAGAATCAATGGGTGAAGAGAGGCCAACTTTTGATTTCTCCTGCACTAACCAAGTGTGCTGACATTCTGACCAGCCATCTGCAGTTCACGGACAGACACACATTAATAAATCGTATATTGTTAAAAGCCTAAAAATTACATGACTATTTACACTCATTTACACTTTTAATTTTTTTTTAATTATTAAATAATGTAAAAACCAGTCAATTTTTAAGATTAAAATTTTAATAGAGAAAACATGATTGTTGACGTCAACTAATCTAAACCCTTGTCAACAACTGTCAAACATTTCTACCCCCACCCCCCCCCCAATGGGCGCCCGCAGGCAGTGGCAAGGTGGGGCACTTGCCCCCCCCTGGATTGATTGGATAAAAAAAATTTAGACAAAAATATACAAAAAATGTATTAAAGTAAAGAGAAAATAAAGAGAAAGTAACTAAGCTGATGTCCTGTCCGTTCGTTCACCATACAAATACGCTACAGTAAATTAAAACTATATTAAAACATTACTAAATTTTTTTTGCCCCCCCCCTGGAAAGTTAATCAATTTTTTTGCCCCCCCCCCCTAGAAAGTTTTCTGCGGGCGCCCATGGCCCCCGGATATTATGACTTCAGTGCCCTTCGGTATTTGAATATGGATAATCAAACGCATTTGTACTAAATTTGGTTAAGATCCATGAATTGATGAATGAGTATTTGTTTTTGTTAATTTAAATGAAATAGCTCATAAAAGAGAGAAAAAAAAACTATTTGGGGCCCCCGGCCCCAAACGGAGTGCTATAAAAAGGATATATATGCCCATTTTGGTCAAGATCCATCAATCCATTTAGAAATCCTATTTCGAACAAACAAACACAAAGATATTCACACGTATATATATATATATATATATATATATATATATATTTAATATATACACATATATATAAAATATCTCTCTTTCTCTATCTTTCTCAATTAACTTTAATCCTTGCTCTTTGTAGCTCCGACAATCTATTAATGTTAGGCTATGATGACATGATGCAATCTTGATGCACAAGATGACATGGTGGATTGATGTAAAAGATGACATGTTGGATGGATGCTCAGACAAAATGACAAGTTGGATTGATGCACAAAACATGACATGATGGATTGAAGCACAAGATGACATGGTGTTTGTTGCACAACATGGCATGGTGTTTGTTGCACAAGATGGCTTGGTGGATTGATGCACAAGATGACATGGTGTTTGTTGCACAAGATGGCTTGGTGGATTGATGCACAAGATGGCATGGTGTTTGTTGCACATGATGGCTTGGTGGATTGATGCACAAGATGGCATGGTGTTTGTTGCACATGATGGCTTGGTGGATTGATGCACAAGATGACATGGTGTTTGTTGCACAAGATGGCTTGGTGGATTGATGCACAAGATGGCATGGTGTTTGTTGCAAAGATGGCTTGGTGGATTGATGCACAAGATGGCTTGGTGGATTGAAGCACAAGATGGCATGGTGTTTGTTGCACAAGATGGCTTGGTGGATTGATGCACAAGATGACATGGTGCTTGTTGCACAAGATGGCTTGGTGGATTGATGCACAAGATGACATGGTGTTTGTTGCACAAGATGGCTTGGTGGATTGATGCACAAGATGGCTTGGTGGATTGAAGCACAAGTTGGCATGGTGTTTGTTGCACAAGATGGCTTGGTGGATTGATGCATAAGAGACATGGTGTTTGTTGCACAAGATGACTTGGTGGATTGATGCATAAGAGACATGGTGTTTGTTGCACAAGATGACGTGGTGGATTGATGCATAAGAGACATGGTGTTTGTTGCACAAGATGGCTTGGTGGGTTGATGCATAAGAGACATGGTGTTTGTTGCACAAGATGACTTGGTGGATTGATGCATAAGAGACATGGTGTTTGTTGCACAAGATGAATTGGTGGATTGATGCACAATATGGCATGTTTTTTTTTGCACAAGATGACTTGCTGGAT